GTTTTGTGGAATCGAGAGAGATGGAATTGACATAGTGGATATTATCTGTTTTATTCAAGCGCAATAAAATTGACACGACCATCTTCTATTTGAACCTCGCCACAATAGCTAGGACAGAAAATCTGCTCAAGGCACAAATGGCATACCATGAGCATTTCCGTAGTAGTCATGGTTGCAGGATCGCGCCAAGTGAATGACACTGGGACCCAAGCAGGTCGATTAATCCAGTCAGGCCTACCCGACGATGCTTCAGCCACGAGCAGCCTCGTTTGCTATTGATGTAAAAAATCATGATAAGTGTATTCGAGCTATGATTCATACCTGCTGCAGTTGATTGACTGGTAAATGTTGTAAAGAAGTAAGTACTTCCTTGCCATCGCGCGGGCGGTCGAAGTTATCCTTAACCAGGTAAGCAGTCACATCGAACAAGGCTCCAGAGGCGAAGTATTGCTCGTTCGGCCTTTGAATGCGTACGAATGAATTGTCAGGTCTTTGGCCATTGATATGAATGACCTACAACAGTTTTTGAGTACAAGTATCATTCACATTACAACATACAGCCACGGTGCCCTGCGCAACATTCACAAACTCGTGGATCGCTTTAAACATCTTTGTCTTCTTTCGAGTGATAGTGCGGGCATGAGACGCTCTCTTCGTGACAAGAAACTCCGTGTGGTCAACGCAGCGTACAACTCGTTGGAGTAGTACGGGAAATGGCACACTCTCTAATAGGCCTTTAGTTCTGACGTCATATTAGCGTTCTCTACGTACGTGCGTGCAAGTTGACCAGCGAAGGGTGTATTCCTTTTTCCTTACACTCATCAGCAAGTGTGCGAGCTAAATTGTACGCCTTGTCGCCCGGGCGGTACCATTCAAGCAGCATCATCGTATCTACAACATGTTTATTCAAATATTCAACAATTAGTAGTACAGTGTACCTGGAACACTGTGCTTTAAGTTGTCCCACATGGCCCAAAGCATCACTTTTGCACACGGCTGCGAAGCGAATTCCCAGGCTGCTGCTTTCGTCAATGGATAGTCATCCAGAAAAGGTCCCGAAATGTCTGACGCAGAGCAAATCTTTTGGACTGTTCCAAGTGCAGTGTGAGGTTTCGTACGAACTGCTTTTCGTTCGAATACCCAGAATGTCGGCATGGCGTTTTCGGAGGCAGCAATCGGAGGACCAAGCGGCACAGGCTGGGGTGCATTCCACGGGGGTAACGTAGACGTGGGCAGCGTAGACGCTTGCCATGCAAGGTGTTGCTGGAGCCATATCGCCCATGACTCGGGGACGATGGAAGGAAAGTCGGCAACATTGAGCCTTGTCATGTCTGGAGGGCCACCGTCGAAGAGTTGGGTCGTCATACGTTGTTGTAAGTCCGTCTTCGACACGCCACGATTCGCAGACACGTTCGCCCACCGTAAGATTGTAATCATGTCTGCAACCTTGAGGTCCCAGCCGGCTATGGGCAAGACCATGGCAACAAGAGGAAATTAACAGTATTGGTTTACAAGATGATTTCGTGTTTGTGGATTATTTCACAACGAATATTATTACATGTGCTACGTACCTATTGTCAAGTGTATTTAATTAAATCTTCCTATTCAATACCAAGTCCATGCGACTCCAAGCCCCTGTCGTGATCACTGGTACAGCCCCCCCCGGTTTTCCCCCTTGTGATTGCCAACCCCTGGTCGAACCAGTTCCCTCATCGGCTCTAATCGACCTATCAGAAGACTTGTCGGACGAGCACCATGCCCTTGTTGCGCAAACCATGACATCGTTCCATCACATAGCAACCAACTTGTACAAAGGCGACCAACGAATCTTGGAGTTATGGCGTGGCGATTTCCCAGTTCCCAACCCCAATCTGGTTCCTCTTCCCCGGACCCCCATGGCAAGGCAATGCAGCTGCTGGATGCAAAACAATCGAGGCAAAGCAGCGACGTGCAATACTCAGGACTGTATCAACTTTGCGGAGTACATCTTTTGTCCCGAGAACTGCAAATCTCGCCGACTCTGCGGCAATCAAGCCTTTGGCGACCACCCACTTGCGGTTCCGCACGAAGTTTTCGTTACCAAGTCGACTGGCCTTGGAGTGCGAGCGATGGCAAGCATTGCGCGTGGATGCTCCGTAATGGAGTACATTGGCGAGGTGATCAAGAAAGCCGAATTTGAGTCGCGCTATGCAAGCATGGTCGAAGCCGGAGAGGTAGATTTCTACTTCTTGAGCCTCCGTGATGAATGCTTCATTGATGCCCGAAATTACTCCAACAACTCCCGCTTTATCAATCACTCCTGTGAACCAAACTGTGCCATTGAAGTCTGGAAGGACAGTGGCGTCAAGCGGGCGGTCATTGTTGCGCTCGACGATATCGGACGTTTGGAGGAACTGACGTTCGATTACAATTGGTGGGATACGTTTGATGCCGCGAACTTCCAGTGTCGTTGCGGCAAAGTAAGTTGTACTCGTAGTCAACGTCGTTAATCTGAAGAAAGAAACACATTTAACTTTTCGTTTTCGGTGAGATGTCCTAGCTATTGAAGCCACAGTTGTCGCGATATTAAATGCACACTAATACGACGCGATTATTCTGCTTGCAGAGTTCCAACTTTTAGTTTCCACAAAAACGTCCCAACATTTTATATTCCACAATAACAAACAATGTCAGTTCCAACTTTTTTGATTCCACAAAAACGTACAATATCAGTTTGCATCAGTTTCCAACTTTTTAGATTCCACAAATACGCATTCCACAAAAACGGACAATGTCAGTTCCAACTTTTTCACTTCCACAAAGATGTACAGTAATTTCAGTTCCAACTTTTATCCACTTACGTGTGTGTGTGTGTGTAAGCAGTCGACATGTCGTCACACTCACGCAGAATCCCAGGCTACTCCGGAGTATTCATCAGGTACAAATCAGTCCCGAATTGAGCCCGTTGGACGACCGTAATGCTTCCTCCTAATGGTTGCATGTGTTGCATTATACTTTGAAGTATATTACTATTTACTCGGAGTATAGTACAATATGTACTACAAAGTACCGTATTAGACTTCGTATTATTTTGTTCTATTATACTTTAACATGTCAAAGCTAACGTAAGTTAACATGAAGTTTGTCATAAGTTACGAGATACACTGCCACCAATCGGAGGAAGTACTTAAGTACACTATGCACGTTTACTTCGGGTCACCAGGCTCCCGCTGCAGCGTCTTATGGCACTATCTCTTATCCACGCGCTCGCATCAGGACCCCAGCCATTCATCGTGTTATTTAGGGTATTTTGAGGATTCCTCAAACGTGGCGTTGTCCGGATATTGTTCAAGAGGTACAGTACATACAGTTGCTTTCGAAAAGTCAATCTCACTACTTGACTTTTTCGACAGGCTTTTTGGCCAAAATATGCTGTCCAAATGTAACGTTTGAACGCATTTAAAACCACGTTTTATACAATAACGTGATTGTGGTCGTGAGTACGCCATGTACTGGCACCAGGCTTTCCTTTCCACCACCATTTGCGAATTTCAAATCGACGTCATGAGTTCCATGGCGCGCGTGTGGGGCGCGATGGCGCGGGGCGGCGTTGGACCCTCGTCCCTTCGGCGGCGGAAGGCAACATCCCTCTTGATGCATCGCGCCACTGGGTTTCAGCCGCGTCCGTCCTTGTCACGTCCGTGGCACTTGCATGTGGCTGGCCTTTCCACCGACAACATCAAGACGACCAAGCACAATGAGCCGCCTTCCACGTCGTCCAAAGAAATCCTGACGTCTCTTGCGAGCTACCTGTGGCCGCATGGAACGTCCAAGGAAGCGTTGGCGGTCAAGTCGCGCGTCGCCGTGTCGGTGGGCCTTCTCGTCGCCGGCAAACTCATCAACATCCAAGTGCCGTTTCTGTTCAAAGAGCTCGTGGATCTCATGGGGACGTCTGCCACATCCCCCGAAGCCGCGCTTGTTGCCGTCCCCGTCAGTCTCGTCCTTGGGTACGGCCTCGCGCGGTTCTCTGCGAATGCGTTCCAGGAACTCCGCGCAGCGGTGTTCGCCAAGGTCGCCCAGGGCACCATCCGTCAAGTGGGCCGCCGCGTGTTTGAGCACCTGCACACCCTCGACCTGCGCTTCCACTTGAACCGGCAGACCGGCGCGCTGGCCCGCACGATCGACCGCGGCAGTCGGTCCATCGACTTTGTCCTGCGTAGTCTGCTCTTCAGCGTCGTGCCCACGGCGTTGGAGATTGGTCTAGTGTCGGGAATCATGGCGCACCAGTTTGGCTGGGAGTATGCCGCCATCACCATGGGTACACAACTGCACAGATCTCCTTCGATATATATATATTGGATCATGTTGGAATACAGTGTAAAATGTGTTCATATATATTTGCATTGTAGGTATATATATATATATATTGAGTCTTGTTTGGAAGTATTGGATTGATGTATATCAATGGGTCTGTGTGAATACCTTGTATATATATATATATTGGACCATGTTTGAGAGTATTTGAGAGTATATATATATATATATTGGGCCACACCTGATTGATAGCTTGGTAAGGACATGTTTATCTATTGGGTCATTTTGGAAAGCATATATTTATATATATATCGGATGTACTGTAGATATATATATATACATTCTGTTGGAGCGCAATATATATATATATATATATATATATATTGGATGTACTGTAGATATATATATTTTTTTTTTTTTTGGGACATTCTTGAAAGCATACATATATATACATTGGGTATCATCATTTTGAAAGCAATATATATATATATATATAGGTTGAAAAAGTGCCATGTATGTTAATCTGTAGATTTGTTACATAGGAACGTTGACGGCGTACACTGGGTTTACGATTGTGGTGACGCAGTGGCGGACGGACATTCGTCGTCGCATGAACAAGCTCGAGAACGAGGCGTCGGGTCACGTGATTGACTCGCTCATGAACTACGAGACGGTCAAGTACTTTAACAACGAAGCGCACGAAGCCACCAAGTACGACGCGACCATACAGCAGTACCAGGACGCGTCTCTAACGACCCAGACCAGCCTCTCGTTTCTCAACGCTGGTATGAGTCACACACACATAATAATAAGCATGGGTCATACATGAGTGTAGGTCAAAACGCCATCTTTTCGGCGGGGCTCACGGCCGTCATGTACTTGGCCACGCAAGGTATTGTGGACGGACACTTGACGGTGGGGGACCTCGTGCTCGTGAACGGGCTCTTGTTCCAGCTCAGCATTCCGCTCAACTTTATCGGGTCTGTCTACCGCGACGTGCGGCAGAGTGTCGTGGACATGGAGGCCATGTTTGCGCTGCAAGCGGTGCCGTCGAGCATCCCCCCGCCATCGTTTGCCACGTCATCATCCTCCTCTTCTTTAACCCGATCGCCCAAGTCGATTACGTTTGAAAACGTATCGTTTGGGTATCGACCCGACCAGCCGATCCTGAACGGCACGTCGTTCACAGTACCCGCGGGGCGGACGGTGGCGGTCGTGGGCTCGAGCGGGTCGGGCAAGTCGACCATCCTTCGGCTCTTGTACCGATTTTACGACGCCGACGGCGGCCGCGTGCTCGTCGACGGCGCGGACGTCAAGGACCTCCCGATAGACGACTTGCGGCGGTTGATTGCCGTGGTGCCGCAGGACACGGTGCTTTTCAACGACTCGATTGCGTACAACATTGGGTACGGTAACCTCAGCGCATCCCGCGATGACATTGTACATGCGGCCAAAGTGGCGCAGATCCACGACTCGATCGTGCAGTTTCGCGACGGGTACGACACCAAGGTGGGCGAGCGAGGACTCAAGCTGAGCGGCGGAGAGAAGCAGCGCGTGGCCATCGCCCGTGCCATGCTCAAGGACGCGCCCGTGCTCCTCTTTGATGAGGCTACGAGCGCGCTGGACTCGGAGACGGAGCATGAAATCGTCAAGCAGTTCAAGGCCATTGGATTGCACAAGACGACTGTGATCATCGCCCATCGACTGAGCACGATCCAGGATGCTGATGAGATTGTCGTGTTGGACAAGGGCCGCGTGGTGGAGCGAGGGACGCATGTCGAGTTGGTCGACCGCCAAGGCGGCAAGTACGCGGAAATGTGGCACCGACAGCAGCACTCCAAAGCCAGTCGGCATGGAGACAAGGAAAAAGAGTAGGTGGATATGGACAATGTATGATGATATATCCAAGGGTTGAGATGTTGTACATCTGTCATGTACTATCGACTGGAGGATGCCAGATGGGACAACACGGGTAGTATATATTTCCAAGTGGACGATGCGGACAGGTCGTCACATGGCGACGCCATGTGCTTGGAGCGAAGTCCTATTGCGAGGTCGTACAGTGTATTGTGAGGTCGTACAGTGTATCGCGAGGTCGTACAGTCCATGGAGACAAGATTGCCAAGTAACGTTACTCGTAGTGGAATAGAGAGTACTGTAGTCCTCTAGGTTAGTTAGACCCATGCATATTTGTCGTTGGCGAGCCATAGGACAGGGTGGTGGACGGTGTCGTGGCCATTGGACACGAGCAGCGACGGCAGGGATTCCGTCCGAGTTTCCACAGACGAAAGCAATTGGTCGTCCAGCCAGGCTGGATGGGGGTTCCATGTGACCACCGACGCCAAGTGCCACTGGCGCGCTTCGACCAGGGCGGCGTCCATGAGGACAGCAAATGTCGCGGCGGTGGCGGCATGGCAGCGCAGGATCGAGAGCACGTTGCTCTTGAAGTCATGCGTCCAGAGGATGAACGCATCGTCAGCCTAATGACAAATGAACAGTCGTTGCTAAGCAACTACTAGAGAAACGAGTACAGTACCGAGCAAGTGCCATAAGGACGAGTCTGAAGCCAGACGCCGTGGGAGGTTGGTGGGGATGGGAACGATGTCTTGGTGCGGGCGTAATAGGCGGCACGCGCATGGAACCAGAGCACGACCGACGGCGTCAGCTCAAAGTACACGGCGGACGAACAAGTGAGCTGCTGCATGCGAGTGACGTCTGCCTGGCACACTTGGGCCAACACATCCAACGAGTCGACGGCAGTGACCGACGGCGGACGGGATGTGGACAACATCGCATGGGTCGACGGAAGTACGAGCTGCTCGGAAGCATGGACAGCCCATCCTTTGGACGCGTAGAACGAAGGCCCAATGTCGGAATAGAGGTTGGAGATCACTAAATTGACGGAAGAAGCATTGTCGGGTTGGTGTTGCTGCTGGTCGGCGCGCATGTACGCAAGAACGAGACGGAGCATGATGGACGCATACCCTTTCTTGCGGTGCTGTTCGGGGGTGTACACAGATCCAACGCTGTACCCATACAAGCGGGCACCGTTGTACCACACTGGTCGCTTGAACACCTCCACGTAGCACAAGATGTCGACTGTCGATGGAGTCGTCGCTGGGACCAGGACGTAGCCAGTGAGGGATTCTTTCGCAAAGGCGGATGCACACAAGGCATGCTCTCGGTCCAAGTACTCGTCCAGCGTCAGGAGTGGCGCGCCCCATGAGCTGTACGTGTACTTATCTGCCTCCAGCTGCTGTGCCTCGGACGCCGGCACAAGGACGTATGCAGTGTCACTTTCCGCCATGCTCGAAAACTCAAAATGACAATGGGTATCCGGAAACACACTAATATCCGGATATGACGATCAAAACGAGACCAGTAACTGCAACGAAACGGTGCGCAGCCAGGTCACCTCCATCTTGAGAGGTATTTCTAATTGAGACATGCAGCACAAGGCGGCGGCGGTCGAGCGGCAGCCGTCGGGCACGAACGTGCTTCTCCCCAGTGCCACCACACCGCCAGACTGCATCATCTGTCGCGCATGCAAGCAGCCCGTGCACCTCGACGATATTGGCGACCACGACTGCAAGACCAGCACCAGTGCACCACCACCCTCTCGTCCGGGTGCTTCGAAAGAACCCAACGCGTCGACTCTTGCATCCCGCCCGTCCTTGAACGGGTTGATTCCTTCGTTGCAGCCCCCCGCGGTAGTCGTGTCGGCACCAGAACAACCTGCCAAACCGTCCGGCGTGATGAAACCTCCGCTGCTCACGCGCAAGTCGTCCGCGTCGTCCAACCAGACCGCCGACATCCAAGCCCATGTGACCCAGGTCACCGTCAGCCAACAGGGCTTTGCCACGTATCGCATCTCGTCGAGTCTGTGGCCCAACGGACCTCAATTCACCGTCGACCGCCGCTACCGCGACTTTTACGCGTTTGCGACGCTGTTGCAGCTCATGCTGAGTCCATCCTCCACGTCGCCCCATGCGATGTGGGTCAAGCTGCCGCCCAAGACGTACTGCAGCCGCAACACATTGACCGACGGGTTCTTGCTGCGTCGTAAGGCTGGCTTAGAAGGTGCCACGTCACGGCAATGCATGCATACATGTCATTGAAATACATGACTAGGGTTCCTCTCCACGGCCATCGACATGCTCTTGAACCCGAAAACCACCGCCGGTCCCGCCCACAAGCGCACGCTCACGCAAATGCATGTGTTGCGGGAATTCCTCGGCATCCCCGCCGCGCGCGACGTCCACGGCGCCGTCCGAGGTAGGGCTTTCTTGCACTTATATGCTTGTCTAATGTTGCCCGGAAAGACTTGAAACGACTCGGGTTGACCTCGGACGGATGGACGCGAGTACAAACACTTGGCGTGCAGGACCATGTCTTTGAGCAAGTAGTTGACGGCTTCAACACCATCAAGCGCGTGGCCACGCTGCCGTTCCCAGCCCGCGCCATCTTCGACCTGCTGGTGCTTCCTCCGCATCAAGTGACCGCGTTCAATCCGAACGTCGTCGGCGGGAGCATTCTCCGAAAAGAATCCACGTCCATGTGGGTCGAACACGTGCAACTCAAGGTACTAGTAGTATTACTAGTAGTATGTACGCGATCCAAATTGTGACCAATCATCGTAGACGTTGTGGCTTCACTCGGGCGTGGACTGCGTGAACGTCAAGAGCTGGCGGTTGGAACCGAATGGCTCGATTGTTGTCGTGTCGATTCCTGCCGCGTCCGCCGACTGTCCGCCGCAGGTGACCGCGACGGCCCAAGGCGTCCTCACGGGATGGATCTTGGCTCCGGTGACGACTCCCGAGGATGATTCGACGGTGGTGACCATGGTGACTCAAATGGACTTGCGCCGGCATCTCGGGCCGAATTCGACGTGGAACAAGTTGGCGCTGCGCAATTACGCCATGGACATCACGTACATTCATAAACACCTCGAGAAATCGTTTGAGAAAGCGTACTACGACGCGGTGGGCCCGCTCGTGTCGGCCGACGAGTTGCACTCGCTGACATTGCACCCCCAAGACATGCAGAAACCCGTCGTCGCAGGCAACAAGGACCCCAAAGGTAACAAACACAATCTACATCATCACATGCTACGACTCCTTCATGACCTGTGAACTAGTGTTTTTGCTGTGCCAGCAGATCGAGCCGCAGTTCTGCTTGTTGATCCACAAGAACACGAACCGCAATGCGTTGATACTGAAGCTGCATCAAGTGTCGACTGACGGCGGCGACGACCAAGTGCATGCGAAGGACCCTCTTGTTGGCGAATGGGTCATGTTTGAAAAGACCAAAAACCCTCGGTGCGTGGTCGATCTGTCTGTACATACGTGTGACGTGGTAGTATTACTAGCCAACCCATGAGCACCCTCGAACGCAACACGACGTATCAGTGGACTGCCAAGCATTTGGGCCAGGGAGTGCATGCGATATCGTTCGGCATGCTCAAAGGCCGGACGTTCCAGCTGCGCAACCAGCAAGGGTACAGTTTGTATGGCACGGTCAACGGCAAGCCCAACGTCGTGCTCAAGCGGTTCTACCTGACATTTGCGCCGTCCATGGTGGGGCTGGGCCAACTGGACAAGGTTGAGCTCGTGGGCGACACGGAGACGGAGGTCGTGTTCGTGCGTTAATGCATAGTCCGTACTCGATAGAATCATAACACTCATAATATTTGTACTATTGTCAAACGAGAGTGGAATAAAGTAACCAAACACATAACGATATATCGAATTGACCGTCTTATTGCAGTTGGAGCATCTTTTCCTCCAACGAAGCGGCCCAGTTGTCATAGTTGTTCAAAATCGCTTTCGATTCCGAGTTGTCGGCCCCTGTCACAGACGTCATGGGCTCAACTTGGCCTTCCACGCCTTGGACTTCCGCGGCATCCACTGGCTTGTCCACGCACTTTGACGGCGATCTCTACACCATGCACATCACCGTGTGGGTTAGTCACGACCCCACGGGGAATGACAAGAGAACCTGAAGCGTTGGCGACGATGGACGACGCAGACTCATGCGACGGTTGGACTCGGCGGCGCTACCTTGGATGTTTGGCTTGAACGTGCACTCTTTCTGCTCGAGTTGTTCTTTTCGCTTTTCCCGGTCTTCCAAGATCTGTTTCTTGTCGTTTGAGAGGCGCTCCCACACGGGTTCCGTCGGCAAGTCCTTGAGGATGATCGCCGGATCGACCAACACTTGGGGCTTGAACGTACACTCTTCCATCTCTTTTTTGAGTTTTTCCTGTTCGGCCAAGTCGAGCATTTCTTGCTTTTTCTTGGTTTCGTCGTACAATCGCTACAGATATGTAGATGGTACGTACATACCACAAAACGTTTACAACTTCCACGACACACAAGTTATGAACGTACGTCAAATATGCTGCCTCTACGCTCCAGTCCCGCGGTGGTTGGCGTGGCGAGGATCTCGGGCTTGAAGGTACACACTTGGGATTCCAAATCGAGCTTCTTTTGCTCCCGCTCCACCGCTTGGGTTTGCTGCAACTCCTTGTTGAAGAGACGTTCGTGGAAGGGTACTTTGTCGGGCTTATTCGCAGCTTTGGCCGCATTCGGGTGGTGCTTGGGCTCGTTGATCGCCGGACGGAACGTCGACTCCTGGACTAGTTTATCTTCTTTCGCCTTGCGCAACGCGTCGAGGCGTTCGTTCTTTTTCTTGTCGGCTTCGTGCAACCGGTCAAAGAACGACTTGTCCCCGCCGGCGGCCTTGCCTTTGGCAGTCGCCGTCGTGTGCGGTTTGAACGAGCACTCGGCCATTTCGAGCTCGGCCTTTTTGCGCTCTTTTTCGAGCCGCTTTTGCTTTTGCAAGTCGGCGTCGTACAACGGCTGTTGCTTTGGTGGCGACTTGGTCTTTTTGTTGATCTTGGGCTGGAAAGTACACTCGACGGCATCCTTCTTCTCGAGTTCTTTTTTCTTTTCCTCGCGTTTGGCTTCGATTTCCTGGTGGTTCTTGTACAACTCTTCCACGCGCGACGTCGACTTGGAGACGTCGGTGTCGTGGCGGGCCGACAACCGACGGGACAGGTTCGAAATCTCGGGTTTGTATGTGAACTGCGCTTCGAGATTCTGCTTCAACTCCTCCTTCCGCCGCGCCATATCTTCGGCTTGCTCGTGCAGTGCCAGGAACCGATCTTTCTCCGTCGCATCTTCGCGCTTGGACGGCGTGCGATTGATCGTGGGTTTGAACGTGCACTCTTCCTTGGGTTGTCGATACAGATTGTCGCGTTTTTCTTTGAGTTCCATCGCTTTGCTGTAGAGACGATTAGCCATGTCGTCCTTTTGACTTGGTGACATGGACTTGCGCTTCGCAGGTGATACTTCCGTGCCCATGGGAGCGGGAGGCGGAGTGTGCTCCATGTCCAACTCGAACTTGGACGGGGATGCAGCCGCCTTGCGAACAGGGATCTTGGACGGCGACAAGGTCAAAATGTCTTTGATTTCTTCCACCATGTGCGACATCTTCTCGACGGGAATGTCGTCGGATGATCCTTCCAACGTAGAAAGGACGGCCGGCGACACCAGTTCCGTGGGGATGGGGGTGTCGTGTCCTGCAGCTGCGTCCTTCAAGGAAGTGACATCTGCACCGAGGGGTCCACTTGCATCCTGCGGTAGAGGTGTAACGGCAACGGCGCCTTGGGGGTCCATGGAGATGGTGGTGGCGGCGGCACTGACGTCGGTCATATGTGAACCCGCGCGCTCTTTTTGGAATGCGCCAAACGTTCGATGTGTGTGGGATAATATAATGAAATAGCTCACTACATGGAACGGTTTCAGTTTTCCATACAAACGTTCATATCAAAGATTTCATTATTATTCCGAACGGCGCGCTAAACATAGCTCCTCCGCCTTTTCGAACAACATTGATGCGTCCTCAGTACGTCGACGATCAAGAGATGGGGAAAGGAGAGGAGTGATGGAGCGACGACATGGGATACGATTCGTGATGGAATCGTCATCTCGGTGAAAGCTATCACTCGATACGTCCGTGACAAGCAACCCTGCGCCACTATGTTGGCTGAATCACAGCTATGTGTCACATAGGGCATTCGCCGAAAGAAAAGCAGTCACACAACACATAAAGCTCTGCGAGGAATGGGCCTTTCATTTCCATTGTCGATCGACAAGGCAAGACGTCAGTATGGACACAAGTCGTGAAGCGCTTTCGGCCGCCATTATGATGCACAGGCATCGATCTTGCATGTTCACGCGCCGGTTGTGATTCTTGAATTCGATGGCGTTTATGGGTAGTTTTATATCAGCTCGGTTTTGAAACCGCCATTTTATCCGGAGGCCCGGATACACAAAGCGGTGCAGTTCGATCAAGTCGCATGCTGGGACCTCGATGTGTTTGGATGGTCTTTCTCGTCGCCTTCGTGCACGTCACAGCAGGAATTGACACTGCCAACAAGACATTGTCGTGCATCGCGCAGTGTGCGCAGACATGCGACTGCCCCATCAGTTCCAACGGTGATGTCTGTAGCAATCGCGGCGCGTGCATAGGCGGCACCTGCCGCTGCACCGCCGGCTTTGGCAGCACCAACACGTCCGTCGGAGTGTGTGATGTTGGTATGTCCGGACACTCCGTGTAATATGCTTCACTCGTGTCGATAGAGTATGCCTCCCTGAACAGCAGCACGTACCTGTTCGTCCTGATCACGTCGTGTGTGTGCGGCCTCCTCGCGTACAATGCGTCGCTGCTGTACCTGTACTACGTAAACGACGCTCTGTTCCAGAAGTCCCGTCCTGCGTTTGCGCATGTCATGAACGTAGGCACGGTCGCCATCGCCATATCTATCGGGGTGGCGGCGTCAATCGTGGCCGACCCGCTTTCGTGTTCAGTGCTCTGGTGCGTCGCCGACCTGTCGTTTGTGCTGGTGTTTGGAACGATTATGCTACGCTTGTACCGCAACATGTGTGTATTGCTGTCGTCGTCAAAAGGCCCGCCCATCAAGTTTCCAGACAAGTGGGTCTTTGCCCTTCTTGGAGGTACTGGTGCATCCTACCTTCACCTCATATGCATGCGTCATGGTCGTTCTGTCCAGGTCTGCTGGCAGTGGAAGTGGGTCTCTTGGTTGGCATATGGGCGTGGCATGGCTTCGACGTGGACGATACTCCGCCGTGGCTGAATGCGGACGGGGTCACATTCACCAAGTTCCAAGGGTGCTACCTTCGCTCGAGCACATCTGGGATTGTGCTCATCGTCCCCAAAGGAGCGAATCTGATGGCTATCCTCGCGTTAGCCCTTCAGCTCCGCCGCAACAAGACGGAGGAGCGCGACATGACCAAGCTAGCGTCGGCCATCGGCCTCACGTTGGGGCTATGGGCCATCGGACTGTCCGTGTATGTCACAGCCCAACAGGCGTACGGTGATATGTTCTACCTCTGCCTCGTCTTTCTGCTGCTGCTTCCGTCCGCCATGGTCGTCGGCGTCACCACGTACCCAAAGTGGGTCGAAATCCATCGCCAAACTTCGGCAGCCAGTGCCGCCGTCCGCCCCAGCACGAAGGCCGATTTGAACTTGTTTCTCCACCATATTGACTGGCACGACGTCAGTCAAGTGGAAGACGCTGAAAGACAACTCAACGAGTACCTTGCCCACCGCGATCCGCTCCACGGCCTCGACATGGGTATATAAATATATATATATTATTAATATATATCTACTAACGTTATGTAGGCACGGTGCTCATGCTCTTGTCCGACCAAGTGCGGCATCGAGGCATCCGCCGGCTAGCCGTCGGCCAACTGCACCATGCCGACTTGAACTCGGTTGCGCTGTACCTGCCGCAACTCGTGCAAGCGCTAAAGTACGATCTGGACGGGCATGACGTGGCAACATCTCCTTTCGTGGCAGTGTTACTCCGGTGTGCGATGTTGTCGGTGGAGATTGCACATGCATTTCACTGGAGTGTGGTCGTGGAGCTGCAAAACCAAGTCGCAGTTGTAGTCGATGACATGGAGGTTCAGTACCAGGACCGACCGACCAAGCCGTTCTTCCTCGCGCTGCACGCCCACTTTGTCGACACGTTGGCAGGAACTGAGCACGGTAGGTACTAGTAGTATTACTAGTACTAGGTGTCACTATTAGGGGACTTGGTGCGGCATGCGTGTACGATGGTCACGTTCTTGTCGGATGTGTACGCCCAGATGACCCAGCAAAATCACCGCGTGGACGCTACGTCCATGACAAGTCAGCTGCGGGAGGCGCTGGCGTATCCGGATGCCAAGTTTGCGTCGCTTCATCCGTTGTACCCGTCCATATGGGTGCAGGGCTTTGACCCGGCGCAGAGCTTTGTGTTTAAGAGCAGCGCCAGACCCATGAAGGTGCAGCTGGTGGTGGACCACACCGCCCAGCTGGAGCACATCACGGTCGACATGACCGAGCAGACGAGACGCCAGCCAGCGACGGACGCGTCGCATGTCCTCCCAAGTTTGTACACGGTGGAAGTCACGTTCGCTGGGGTTCGGGGCCTGGTGGTTCCGACCTTTGACCAGTGCTGCTTTCGCGTGGACGTCCAAGGACACGTCCAGTCGTGTGATGTCGACGCCAACGGATGTGGTCAGGTCCAGTTGGAAGTTGGCACTTATTTGCCAGACGTGGTCGAAGTGACCCTCGTGGATACTACTAGTATTACTAGCCCAAGCAAAAGCAGCCGAAACCTGACTCGTCGTCCGACGGGGGTATTGGAGATCCCGTTGCCGACGATGGAAGCGACCCCCGTCGAGAGGCACATCCCTGGCTCAGGTACATATTGTGCATTTCACCCAAATTTGAGAGTCATTTCACCAATAGCTTTTGAATCAATTTGATCCTATTTAATCTTGTACACATTATACTATACACAGATTAGTATATATGTGGTTTTGCCAATGCGGAGGGGTCAAACGTTTGGATTGGCAGAAATTCGACATGACGCGATTTGATTGGTTCAGGCGGTTCTTTAATCGATTTCGGGGGATCGATTTGACAATACTACATTACATTGAAAACTATGAAAGGTTATGACATTGTCAAGTTAGACGTGTACGTGACGGTGGGGGTGGAGGTGGTGGATACTAGTAGTAATACTAGCCACGTGGCCGAAGACGCGAAACGCGAAGGCCTCAAACGTGCGGTGACCCAAAAGCTGCAATGCACGGTCGCGTCCGTCTCCCCCGGCATCATCTTCAAAGTAAGCACCTCCACCCTCCTACTACTAGTAGTAGTAATACTAGCATGCATTACTAGCGCGGAGACGACTTGCGCCAAGATGCGCTCGTGTTGCAACTTCTTGCGGTTATCGACAACATCTGCACCATACATGGCCCCCTCCGGTTGCACTTTACACTCTACCGCGTCTTGGCTACCAGTGTGAACGAAGTACAGTATTACTAGTAGTATATATTCATCTAATACAAATGCTATTACAGGGCATCACCGAGTTTGTGCCGGACAGTTGCCCGTTGTCGCAGATCCTGCGCGAGAACCACCACAGCATTTTGAGCTTTCTGCAGCGCCACCAGTTTGACGCGGGTGCCGTCAACCATGTGAACCCTGTCGCAATGGACATCTTTGTCAAAAGCGTCGCGGGGTACTGTGTCGCAACGTACGTCCTCGGTGTTGGCGACCGGCACTTGGACAACTTGATGCTGAAACCGTCGGGCCATTTCTTTCATATTGACTTTGGCTTTCTCTTTGGCAACGACCCCAAGGTAATAAGAATACGATTATACTTGTATTTATATATATATATATATAGATGTACGATTACTGGATAGAGAGAGATGGATTAATAGGAATTTATTTTTATTTCTTTATTTATGACCGACCTCCTTGATATTCATAGTACGTATGGGACCATGTAGTAATAATTAAATTGGAACAATAGGAATATTTAAATAGTTGACTTTGATTAATTTGATCAATTTGATTTAGAGATATCATACTGAATGATATAATTCTTTCACGTACTATTGTATTTCACAATGCAGAGGTATCAATCATTGCATGATAGATAGTATCCTTTCTATTCACGTAGATGTACTAATATAATAGTGAGTCGTCGTACTACTACTACTTACGTAGATAGATATGTATACTATATCGGTACTACTAGTACATGTCATGTACAAAGCAAGATTCATGTACATTGTCTCATATTAGCCGTTGCCGCCGCCATTCCGACTGACGCCTGAGATGGTGTTTGCGATGGGGGGGTTAAGTGGGGAGCCATTTCAAAGGTGCATTCAATACGCATGCGAGTGCTTCAACCTCCTGCGGAAGCATGCGCATGTGCTCATGGCCGTGCTCCAGTTGACCAAAGACTGTGGGCTTCCTCACATGCAAACGAGTATGAGCGACGCCAAGGACGCAGCTATCCGCGACGTACGTGTATATATATATATATATTATTTTTATATATATATATTAGGTGGAAAAGAGACTTGTGTTGCACGTGTCGAGTGCAAATGCGACACAGTTCATGACCCAGCTCATGGTCGACTCTCAAAACACACCTACCACGGCGCGCTTGGGGCTTTTGGAGCGCATCCATCAATTGGCGGTGGCGTTAAAGTAATAAATATTCAAAATACGATTATATTCCAAAGATGATTTGATAGAAATAGTATATATACTACGAGGGAAGTTGTTCTAGTAAAGAGTTATCTGAGGCGGAGGTGTTCTAGTAACGAGTCGGCGCTGATAAAGTGGCCAACGACGCACGAGTCGGTGTACCAAAGGCGGTGCCACCACCGCGTGTATGGCGGTACGATGCAGTGAAGGTGGAGATGGTTCACAGAATTGAATGGGAACTGGTGGAACCCAAATACACTACAAAGAGCCACAGTCGACTTTAAATAGTGTTATATTCTGGTGTTTATTACACTGTAAACTGGCAGAAGGATATATTTAACCAATCAGATTGTAGGAAATCAGCATCAGCTTCTAATTAGTGTGTGACTTTAATTACTGTAATACCAAGCACCATCGATCGATCGATTTGTAAAAGGGCAATGTGGACGTGTACTTACTGGCTGTGACGTAGTACTTGGTCGGTAAACAAGACTTGGCACTGCTGGGCTAGCACCATCTTGCCGACCTTGACCATGTATTGCACTAGTAGATAGATGCATATTGATTTGCATGACGATGGACATGTCAGAACAAGGGCGGCATGTACCGAGGGACATGTGCGTTTCTCCGAGCTCGGACGTGTTGTTGATGTGCTGCTTGGGCACAACCAGCACGTGGATGGCGGCGCGCGGGTGGACATTTCGGAATGCCATCACAACGTCGTCCTACTTACCAACCGAAGCTAAGATGATGCAACCATACGGAGAGGGTACTTCGAAGAGAATGCCGTCGGCGGTCATGGGGTCGCAGAAGATGCAGCCGTCCATGTATGTCGGGTATATGTACAGTAGGTATATTAATATATATCTATGACGTCATGCGCTGCCTATTTATAACGGTAACGGGATTACAGTCTCGGGGCGTTATGACGGGCGCCAGTGCGTGACCTCGACGACGTTGCGGTCCAAATCGTGAAAAAAGAGCGACCATTGCCTGCGACAACGATTACAACACGATGCACGAGTTGGGATAGTACCGTCCGTAGTCGAAGAAGTCGACGGCGGCGATCGGGCCGCCCGCGCGCTTGAGGTCGTCCGAGAGAGATGCTTTGATCGCGAGAAAGTCCGCTTCGTCTGTGCATGTGATGGCAAAGTGTGCGCCATTGTGGTCCTGGATGGGAGCTTGCGTTGGTTCCAGCGGCAGGAGCGCGACCTGCGCTGACCCGACGCGAAGGAACGCCGGGTCGAACCCAAAGTCCTTGTCGTCCTTGTACAAGTGCTCGGCGCCCAAGAGAGCCTCATAGAACTGGACAGACTTGCGCACATCTTTGCATACGATGCACACATGGTCCAACGCAGGAGGCCGACGAGCGAAGATGGCGCGCGTGACGCTGCTGAACAATCGACTCGACATTATTGTTACTGCCATATACCAAAATGGAAATTCTGATTTCAATTGTAACCTTTCTGTCCAAAATGATATCAAAATTCAGTGAAATGTTGATATATTTTTGTGTTTTTGATATTTTTTGTAAATTTAGACTGCAACCGGGGCGACGCTATCCTGACACTCATGGACAAGGACCGTTCGAACTTGAGCGCGGGCGGCGGCGATCAGGCCGAGGACTTTCCGATGCTCCTTTCGAAGTTGGGTGCGCAATGTAAAGGCTGTGGCGGTGGAATCCTTTAATGCTGTGTCCACGGTCTGGAGACGCTGTAGGAGATCGGACTTGGACGTAACTAGAGTTGGCACCGAGTGGTCGGCAACCCAAAGTCTGCGCGTCGACTTGTTGATGTACTTGACGCAACTCAGTTGATTCCGCCGCATTTCAGTTCCTGTTCGCTTGCCTCTAACCTGTGTCATGTCCTTGAGATGTCCTCGCTCCCGACGAAGGGATTGAATCTCATCCAGTTCAGCAACGAGTCGGGTAACGTCGCGGCGAAGGTAGTGGAGTTTCTTCGCACAGGCACGGTACATGAGGGGCCAAGTGGTCCATCGCATCGGTGAGAGGCTCCACTTCATTTCATCTGCGAAGGAAAACCCACATGCTTGGCGAATCGACGTGACGATGGACTGATACGCGGTTGGTTGTCCTTGGTTGCTCTCGGTTACGAGCGTGAACAGGTCTGCCGCAAACATGCGCTTCCATACATAGGGATGCTCTATCGTGTCGCGGGTAGTCTTGCATACTCCACGTAGGCGAAACAGGTCGCGTGCATCGAGGTGTGCATACACAACGAAGCGGCACGACTGCGGCAACTGGTTGACCATACGAAATTTTTAGTGTCCGGTAAAGCAAGTGGTAAACGTCGTATATGTTTTAAATCGTATTTAAAACACAATCTGTTTGATCCATCCAACCATAGACCCCTAGTTTAAAATCCCAAAGTTTGTTTCAAACGCGTCTCAAACGCGTGTTTCAAACATCGTTTCGTTCCGCCTTCGCTATAATTGAACGCGACGTTTCAAAAGTGGTTGGTTTCACCTGTGTAGTCTTTAATTCCCCGACGGGTGGCAGAATGAGCGCACCGAGCGGCCGAAGCAACATGAGCGGGTTCTCGTCAAGGATGGACGGCCCGCTCAAGCACTCCGACCTGGTCCCTCCCACGAAGAAGCGCCGTCTGAGTCCAGATCACACCGTCATGCGGCGGCAGTCGATCCACGACCTCGTGGCAATGACCGTGGTGCCGCAGATCGAACACATCAAGGACCCTCGATCTCGAGGTCTGCTCTTTCTCGTCCGGAACAGTGGTGAAACCCGACGGGACTTTACACTGCGCAACCTCGAGCAGTCCAACGCAGGGCACCTTGTGGACATGTTCATGGTGTTCCTGAGTCTCTTCTGGGTCGCCGTGTACATATACGTGAATAAAGACGTGGCCAATCCAAAGCTACCCACCGAAGTTCAACGTACGTTTTCGCGCGCGCTTTTTCTCTCATTTTCAAATTTGCGTCGTTCCCCTCACTTCAACTCTTACGACTGTCCGTTCTCGTAGTCCTCAGCCACACGTTGGGCGTGGTCTTTCTCCTCGAGTAAGAAGTCTCCTACTACATGTATCCATGCCTCCATTCTCACCATCATGACGTTGTTCCTCCAGTTACATGGTCCGCCTATATGCATCTCCACTGCGCATGAGTCACTTCTGGAGCTTCTTTCCCCTTGTGGACTTTATCTCCCTCGTGCCGATGGTGATTGAGATCGTCGTGGGCAATGACATGCTTACGCACATCAGCAAGCAAACGGACTCGCTGCGTCAAATCGCATCCATGCTCCAAGCCGCGAAAACTATCCGCATCCTCAGGGCGTACCGCGCTCTCAAGTTCATCAAGAGCACTGTGAACCGACAAATGACCGCCACGGCGCTTACCGTCGTGTGCATCATCATCGCCATGGCTGGGATCCTTCAGATTCTCGACCAGTGCTCCCCCGCGTGCGACTCGTTCATGTTTTGCTCGTACAATTTCACCGCGTACGATTGCCCGCGCAACGATATGTGCTTCCACGCCGACGTCGCCCACAATTGTTGTAAGTGTCAGGAACTGTCATTCTTCGACTGGACGTACTTTGTCGTGGTGTCCATTTCGACGTTGGGGTACGGTGACATTTCGCCCCGCGGCCGACTCGCGCGGCTGGCCACGTCCACGATGATGCTCATGACGTTTGTGCTCGTGCCGATCCAAGTGAACCGCCTCGTCGCGACCATCTCGACTCATTCAGGGTACACGTCCTCGTACAAGGAGCATCGAACGCATACCCACGGCATCATCACGGCCGGCGGCGACATTTCGGCGGGGACGCTGGCCAATTTTTTGCGCCAGTTTTTCCATCCGGATAACCCCAACTGGAATGAAAAGATTGTGATTTTGCATCCCACGGCGCCGTCGAACGATGTCCAGCGCGTGATTCATCTGTACGAGCCGCGCGTGCAGTACATCGTCGGGTCGGCGATGAACGACCTTGACTTGGATCGTGCCATGATCTCCAAGGCCGCCGTGTGTTATGTGCTTGTGAACAAGGACACGACCCGTCCAAGCAACGAAGACCAGAGCTGCACACTGCTCACGGCGGCGTTCCGAGGCATGAATGCCAACGTGCCTGTGTACAGCCAAGTATTTATGAGCCAAAACATCAGCCACTGCGTCTTGTCGGGGGCCACCGGCGTCATCTGCGTCGAGAAGCTCAAGCTCGGCGTGCTGGGCCTCAACTGCACCGTGTGGGGGCTGTCCACGCTGCTGTCCAACCTCCTCGACACCGTGTCTCCTTCCGTGACCCAGCTGTACCCGAAGGACTCTTGGGAAACGTCGTATCTAAAAGGTACTCGCTTGAACCCTCCCATATGACTAGTGTGCGTATGATGTGTATGTAGGGTATCTCCACGAGATCCACCGCGTGGACATTCCTCGGTCGTTTTCAGGGTTGACGTATCGAGAATTGATTTTGTTTCTGTTTGGCACGATCCAAGTCGTTCCCATCGCGATGCTCACGGTACGTCGAACGCTACATCCTTGTCGAATATATATATATATCCTGGGGCTTGAATATGATTTCTTCTGTATTTTGAAATAAAAGAAGTCATGTTAAAAGTAACGCAGTATTGTGAATTGTTTGTCGAATCAATATTGAATCACGCTGGAGCTGTGATTGGTTGAATATACTGTAAGAGCCAATCAAATCTACTCAAAACTGGATTAGTAGCCAATAGCGTGGAAATTTGTACTACTACCGAATAGCCACAATTCTACTACCATTCTATTCCCATGGATAGTGTTTATCCCATTTTGGTATGTTGAGCTTACCGTTGAAATTGCAGGACACGGGCGTGACGTTTGCCCCGATGGACTTTAAGCTGGGGGCGACGGCGGACCCGACCATCTGCTGCACACTGTACATCCTCGCGTCCAATGTGTCTGTGGCCGATCAAATCGCAGAGTACCCCCTCGAACAAATCCGCATGTTCCGCCAAACGTTGCGCAAGCAGGAGCGCTACGTCGCCGAGAAAATCCAAGAAGCGTTTGAAATCGCCGCCGTGACCGCCGCCGCGGCGGTCGCTCCTTCCCCCACGACTCGAATGCTCGATGCCGCAGGTCCTGCAATTACTCCCAACGCGCTCAAGTCGTCGTCGAATCTGCCCGTGCTTCAAGATGATGACGACGCCAAGCAGCCGACCGACGCCGCGGTCTTGTCCGCCCTCGTCAAGGGTCTCCACGGCGCCAAGCACGTGTTCGGCCAAGCGTCGCCGTTCAAAGAGTTTCTGGTATTGCCTTCCTTATAACCCAAGATTTTGGACTACTTTTGTGCTGAATGAATCGCCAAATCTATCGTACTGAATTTTGTATAAAGGTGTTTGGTGTCACACTAATTGAAGTCACACACTAATGAGACGTGGATGGTGGTTTCCTGCGATCTGATTGGCTAAATCTATCCTTCTGACGATACATCCGTACATTTCTTTTGGTTGTGTATGTTCCATATCAACTCCAGTTTATAATATATATATATATGAAATGTGGTGGTTTGCCTGCAATCCGGATGTTGTTATGTTCAATGCGATCGTGTGATGTAGGCCAAGGTATTGCCGGACGACCTGAACGACCACGTGGTGATTGTGGGGCTTCCGGCGTCGTTGGGGGACATCATCGTGCCGCTGCGGCAGTTCAACGCGCGCAACCAGACGGGGCGGCTGCAGGTGATCGTGTTCATCGCGCCGTTCGTCATGTCGGAGCACCACTTTCACAGCCTGGGCGACAGCACGGCCGTGTTCTTTGTGCAGGGGTCGCCGCTGAGTTCATTCGACCTTCACCGCATCCACATTGACACGGCCGCAGCCATCATCATCCTCGCCGGCTCCGGCTCCAAGCGGAAGTACCTCGATGAAAACATGGTCGACGCCGACGCCATCACGACCGTGCGGTACATCAACGAGGCGTGCTCAGCGTCCAAGCCGCCCAACCTGATTGTGGAGCTGGTCAAAGCCACCAACGTCAAGTTTATGAGCTCCATCGTCAAACGACGCACCAATCAGAACCGACGCCGACACAGCGACGGCCGCCATACGCGCATGTTTGGCCCCGTGGTCTCGCTCAAAGGCATCGGCGGCGCGGACGTGTCCAAACCTGGACGGAACTCTGAAGAAGTCGGCATCAGCTTGTCGAACAAGGACGACAGCGACGGCAAAATCGACGTCGAGCACATTTGCGAACTGTCGTATGCGTCGGGTACGGCTGGTCGGGGGGTTTTGTGTGTGTGTCGAGGGGACTTTTGTTTTTTACCCAAACAGTTTGGACTACTTTTGTGCTGTATGAATCGCCAAATCGATCGATATCTTCATTGTACTGAATATTTGTATGGAAAAAGGGACTCATTCAAGTTATACACACGACTTTGACGTTGATGATGGTGGTTTCCTGCGATCTGATTGGCTAGATATATCCTACTGCCGATGATTCTTGTGTACATTTCTTTGGTTGTGTTGATATTGATACTCCAGTTTAAACATAGCAATATACACTAACGTGGTAACAGGTCGCGTGTACGTGAGTGGGATGATCGATTCGCTCATGAGCGAGTGCTACCAAAAGCCCAACATCATTCCCGCGGTCAACTTGCTCATGTTTGGCAGCCCCGCCGACACCGAGTACGTTTGTTGTATGGGTGTTAAACCCTCGTGTGTGACACGGTTCCACACATGTTTGTGTGACATGGGGTTGATGACATATAGTATTGTCTTCGTTGTACCCATCACTTATTGGACTACGTTTTGTGTTCATTCTTCGCCGAATCTATCCATCGATCATTCTGCATACTGACTTTTATCCATCGATCATTCTGCATACTGACTTTTGTATGTCGAAAGGGTCCGATGTGAATTTACAAATTTGAGGTGGAATTCTTCGAAATCATTTGATTGGCTACTTGATGGGCGTGTTGTGGCTTTTGATTGGTCGTCGTATATATCGCTTGTCTGCAGATTGTTCATATTTTCGATTGAGAGCACGTTCGAATGTCAAAGTTGACCATACTTGGTAGCACGCAACGGTTGTTCCAAGTGAAAACGCCCAAGTCATTGCATGGCAAAACGTTTGGCGAGTGTTTTCGCAAAGTGCTGGCGCTGGTACGACCATCCACAAGTGAACATGATATTGATATGCTGTTAGAACTTGATTTGCATTGGGTGTTTGCACTCGGGCACAGACAAGACGCCTCCGTACGTCCACACAAACCCGCCCGCGGACATGGTGATCGTCCACACGGATTACATTTACGTGATTGGCAAGCCGTGTGCCGAGCTCCCGATTTAGCTCTCTTGGGTTGTTAGAACCACAACCGAATATTATTTATTCACAACGTGGCTTCGTCCAGGGTCGTCGATCGATGGGGCACAATCACGCAAATGTAGTGGACGTAGCAAAGGCGGTCCATGTACGTGTCAAACGCCGCTTGGAGATGGAAGTGGTGGATGGACATTTCTACGTGGAACACACTCGCGCGCACCATGCCATGCAAACACAGAAACAAACTGCCCAAGTGCAACACACCCGCCAAGATGCTGTACGAACTACACCACCATGAGATTCATATCACAACATCAAAGACATGTACCAGTCGAGCATGGTCATGGCGCAAGACATGGGATTGAACGTGGCTTGGTGGGGCTGCTGCTTGGTGCTACCATATATACTGTATATATATGGAAGGATGGAACTACTACCTCCATCGACGGTTGCAGCAGGATTGCATGAGACTGTACCGGAACGAAGCATGCACCACCGTGTGTACGACCAGAACGACCGCCATCATGCACATGACCGACATCTACCACCATCGACGGATATATACCACAAGATTCCGTGGGACGAACGAACCGCAAAACACGCGCGACGTCGAGGGAAACGCGCGAGGAGATGACCCATCACCATGAGGACGATGCACGTGATGGGAGTCACGATGAACAACGCCGGGTACGGCCGCAGGACCGCGTTCACTTGGACGTCCACGTACACGAGCAACGAAATGCCCTACAAAGGTTTCGTCCATCCAGCACGTATAAGAAGGCAGCGTAACGTTACCATGCAAAGCCACCAGTTGTTCATGCCGTCATCGTCACTTGCCATCATGCCGCGCCGGTGCGTCGGTAAATCCACGATATGTATGTACTGGTAGCATACCAACCATATCGTGGACGCGGCGCCTTTTACTTGTGGGAGATTGTTCTCTAGAAATGCATTTCCCATGAGTATGTATATATATCCTATACGAAAGCAAACCTGTGAAATATAATACACGCCGCGAAGTTTGAATTGCCGCGTATTTACAGTCCCGTCATCGTCATGAGCGCGACGACGGAAGCGTTGACGCGGTAGAGGCAACCGATGATGTTGAAGGACAAACTTGCTTATAGATTGCTGGGCGATGTAGGAAGTTGGGGGAACTGCATGAAGAAGTGGCGAGTTTGAAGGCCCGGGTCGTGGAAGCGGTGCGCATCTTCCATGGCTCGAGTGCGAATGCGTCGTCGAGTATGTCGATTGACGAAGCGATGCAGTTTGCGGCCAAGTGGTGTCGACAAGGGGAAGGTCCAAGCGAAGTGCAGATCCGCATGCGGGAACTCGAGGCTGTCTTGACCGACACGGTGGCTCACTTGCAGCCAGACACCCCGCACCACGACAACCAGGTAACAAACGAACGAAGCGTCTCCGTGACACACCTCTGTCATCTACATGTTAGCTGCAGCTATCCATCGCCACGAAAGCGCGGTTGCAGACCCAAATCCAGCAGTCGCACGAGATGCTGCAGCTGCTGCATGTCCTTTCCCAACTGGACGTTCTGTTCCAGCACTTTGACGCACAGGTGCACGCGAACGCGTTCGAGGTCGCCGCGGCCGACGTGTCCGCGATGGACCGTCTCGTCCGCGACTCGCCCTCTTCCCCCGTCATGGACATGATGCGCGTCCAGGCCCGCATGCGCCAAAACCAACTCCGTTGCTTGTTGGACGCCGAGGTCGACGCCGTGTGTGTGACGAGTCCCAACAAACTCGAGCTGTTTCCTCCGCAGAACCTCTGGGCGTCGCTCCAAGCAGCCAACCGCCTCGCGTTCCATCTGGATGCGTTGGCCGCCGCGATGTTTCGTCACATCCTGCACCCGCTGGTCGCCGATCCGACGCTCGTGCCCCAGATTCATGCGAATACGCTCACGTTGCTGTCCAAGCCTCCTTCGACCTCTTCATCGTCGGCACCACCACTTGTCCCCGCCACCGCTCCATCTTCATCATTGACCGCTGGTTCATTTGCCAAGGTGCTGCAGCATGTGCTGTCAGTGTTTCAGTTTATACATGCGCATTGGACCGACCAGTCGTTGCTGGGCAACGTGCTCTGGAACACGCACCTGTCGACGCCGTTGCTCGTGCTCTTTGTGCACAACCTCCCGTCGTCTGTGTCGGACCTGGCCGCGTTCAAAACCACCGTGCAACCTCTGGTACAGATGTATATATATATATATATATATATTACTAGTTTTATATATATTACTAGTTTTATATATATTACTAGTTTTATATATATTACTAGTTTTATATATATTACTAGTTTTATATATTACTAGTTTTATATATATTGCTAGTTTTATATATATTGCTAGTTTTATATATATATATTATTTAATCTGATCATCTAGTTGCATGGCTTTGATGCGTCCATGCACACGATTGGGTGGACGACAGTGTCGGCGTCGACATTCCTCGACCACTTGGACACGTACGATCGATCGATCAATATGAGATCCATGTCATAGGATATGTCTAGGCGGTATGCGTCCGAGAAGCGGCGCCGCGTGCTCGTAGACGTCCGCCAGTCCATGCACAAGGACTACATGGACTCGGTCGTGGCGTCCCTGCCAGCATCGCACCATCGCCAGTCCTCGTCGAAAAAATCTGGCCAATCACATGCTCCCAACGACAACGACAACAACAATCTCCGCGTGTCGCTGTGTGCCTCCAAGCTGTGGTCGCAGGTACTAGTAGTACTAGTAGTACTAGTTCCTTTCCTAGACTTTTGATGGAGAGTAGATGGAGGCGTTGCTGGACGAAGCAGCGCATGAAGACGTGGGACAGGGCGTGGGGATGGCGCTGGTGCACACAGCCCGCGACGCCGTCTCTCTGTTCCGCATGGGCATGGCGAGTTTGGTCAAGGAAGCACTCGAGCACGATCCCCGCGTCGTGATGCTCGTGCACAACGACTGCCTCTTCCTCACACATCACATGCTGCCCGCCGTGTACCGCCGCAAGGCCGGCCTGCCCCCCGGCGTTAGCCTCATCGACCTCGTCCCGCCCCTGCGTGAGTTTGGGGAGCACGTTGTCATGCATTTTGCCAAAACACATACCCACAAGATGCTCCAGTCCCTTGAAACATCCCCGGTATATGTCAACATATGGACTACGTTTGTGCTGAATCGTCAAAGCTATCGATTGATTCGTTGATTGTCCTGACGTTGGTCCAGTTTCACACTAATTGGAAGCTTCCACACACGAATTCAATGTTGTATTGGTCAAAGAGTAGGTTGGATGTGATTGGCTACTTGATTCGTGTTGTGGGTTTTGATTGGTCGTATATCGATTGATTTGGTTAGTGTCTGCTCATATTCGATGGAGCACTCCAATTTCGAATCGATTTGACAATGTACCATTTTCCAAATGGTCTTCATACTCTGCTTAAATAGTGGCCTTGATTATCCTCCTTGTCCTTGTGGTTTTACTGTCTATATATCTCGTGGAATAGTCATCCAAGTGTCTGAAATGTCATTATTATAATATATATATATATATATATGATATTAGCCATGGACCGACGTACACGAAGACGGGGCGTTCAACCAAGCCGAAACGTGCTTGAAGGTGGTGCTGTTCCAGCTGCAACGCATCGCGCAGCAGTGGAAGGATGGCGGTCTGCACGCGTACGCGGCGGTGGTCGGGCGCATGCTGGCGCCGCTGCTCAACCACCTCCTCACGTCGCTCCTCTCGACGCCGCCGACACTCAAGGCCGTGCACAGCGTCCACCATCTCTTCCAGCTCTATCTCGACGCCGCCTCCGACTTGTTTGAAACGGCCGCCCTCGCAGAACTCCACGTCCACAACTGGACCAAGTTTGCCCTTGTCACGCACATGATGGTATATATATTATATATGTACCTGTCGGGTGGAAGAAATATATATATTTTTGATCGATTGATTGATTATATATTATTGTTTGGAGGAAATGAAACATGGGGATATGGTAGGAGGATACCGTGGTGGGCGTGCAAGACAAGTGGGTCACCGGCGTGTTGAAACCAGTGGGGGCGGCGGATGTAGCCACCTTTCTCAAGTACGAAATGAGATATATATATTATATATATATATATATATATATATATATATTAATGTGCAATACTTGATATTTTAGACTCGTGTTCCCAGAGTCCCCGCAACGCCACCATGCACTCAGTATTGTCCTTCGCAAATAACGACGGTGTTCCATGACTAGTAGTACTACTGTAGTAGTACTAGTGCAGGGACGAAAACAAATTGATCGTTACGAGTACACGAGTGCGTGGTTGATGGTGCTTTTTTGTTCAACGAGCGTCGATAGTACTACTAGAGTGAGCACGCGGTGGAGGTTGTTGTTTCGACCGTTCGACGGCATATTTGGCCAAGGCGGACGGCAGGGCCGAGGCAAACCCATACACAAAGACACCCGAGAGCACCAGCAACACCACGCGGTTGCGCAGTCGCCGCGCCGCCTTCCCTGGATCCCGCAGGTTCTCGGTGGACGCATGCAGGATGTTCTTTGTCTGCTGGAAGGCTGCTGAAGACGAGTCGACGAGCGCTGCACCGGCATCCACCGCCTTCTTGGTCGTGCGGCGATGGACGTACGACACCGAGTCCTTTGCCGTCGCTGCGGCGGACGCTGTCGTGGACTGGAGTGCCTGCACACCCTTTGCAGCAGCATCTACCGCAGCTTTCTGTACGGCTTGCGCGCCGCGCTGGGATTTGTCCTGGAGGAACTTGGCGCCGTTCGACGTCGCGTCCACTACAGTTTTCTGCGCCACATCGATTCCGCGACGGGCCACAGCGGCGGCACGTGTCTTTCCCAGCTGGGACGTCGCATTGGCGAGGACTGATCGATCGGGAACCTTTTCGTGGTGGGAGAAGGAATATACGTACAATGGGAACAAAGGTAGGCGTACCACACGCTTCAACGAATTCCACACACTCTGAGGTGCATTGGACAAGTTCGCCAGCGTTTTGGCGGTCGAGGGCGGCAAGCTCTTGGGTTCCGAGACGATGGGTCCCTTTTCTTTATGCGCCTAGGTAGACATGCATGACGCCGGGCACTCGTTGATGCATGATGGACTCACGGAGGTCGCCTTCCAACTGTCGGCAAGTGCCTTGAACATCCAACAACGAAAATCAAAAGTCCACTGTGCTGCATCCGGATAATGATTATCCGAAAGTATCATTGAACCTGATTGCATTTAAAATACAAATAATAGATGAATATCATCTATACAGAAATATTTGTCTGGTTCCTTTGATTAAACAATTGGATATTAATTGTCACAGTCAATCGCGGCATTGTTGCAATCGTATAAATTAATACACTGATGTGACCAATCAAATCATCGCATGCACATTTGAACATTCAAATCCATGCCGCAAGATGAGCTCAAGGCCGAGTCGTTAAGGCATGGCAGCTTACGATATGTGCTGGAGGTGGCGCCGTCGATGCTGCGGGAGAGCGATGTGGTCAGTGATATCCTCATCGAGCGCATTCGGTCACAGGAGGACTCGGAAGAAGCCGTCAACGCGATCCTTCGTCTCATGAGTCTGCATCTGCAATCCAACGCCCACATCACCGAGCAACTGGTCGAGCTGCTCTTCACATCCGACTACCGTCTCTGCATCATTCACCATCTTCCCAAGGTATCACCACATGCACATTCACGCTCCTCACACGTGACATGCTGTGTAGTTGACGTACCAGTCCAAGGAGTGCACAGCGCTGGTCCTCCATGCATACCGCGACCTGTTGGAATCGGACAGCGCGCTTGTAGTGCCCATCATGGGTTCCTTAGCAGACATGCCGCTCACTCCCGATCAGCAGAATTCCGTCGTGGACATGACCCATGTACACACCATGTCCTTTCTCCAGTTGCTCACGATCGACCCTAGACTTTGATGCCAAGCATCGACGAAACCGACATCCCAGTGGTCGTCCGAGGCATGCTCGCCATGCTGACATCGTCCAACGGCGACGCTCTCATCGGAAGCATCCGCGCACAGTGCCACCAACTGTCGACGCACACGCTCCATCTTGTCGTCGAGGTACCTACCCCTTCCTCTCTCTTCCGTGGCTCCCCCTCACTCGTCGCAGGTTATGGGTCCGTTCCTTCGCCAAGGCTCCATCTCCCTCAAGTTTATCCTTCGCGCCATTCGAAGTGCCGACACCCTCACCGCCATCGACGGCATTTGGCTCGTCCTTTTGCACGCCCAGGACCCAACGGTACCTGTTCACCCATTTCGAATCATATCTTACGATTCAGCATGGTCCCCTCCCTTCCTGTCCACCTATTGTCAACTCTGTCACTTATTGGGCATGGCACACACTAATAGACAGCGTGGACCACACTGACGCGCATCAGCCGCAAGTGCACGGCCGTGTGGCTGACCGCGACCGCCGACTTGGCGCTGCAGGCGTCGCACACGCTCGTGCATCCGTTCATGCAGCTGTGCATGCTGGTGGTCCAGTGCGGGTTCGACAAGTCCACCGCCGCCGGCCTCCGCGCCCGCCTCGTGCAGTCGGGCGTGCGCGCCATCGCTTACGTCATGCAGCACACGCGGTCGTCGCTCCAGCACGACGTGCTCGTGTGCCTGCTCACGCTCACGAGCCACAGCCATAAGCTGGCCGCGTAAACCTTTCAAAATCGATATGTGCCCTCGAATAATTAAATTTGACAGGTCCTCGAAACAGCAGGCGCTGCGGTGGCACGTTCCGCGCGCGGCCGCCATCTGCATCGCCGACGGCGTGACGTCCCTTCCGCCGTCCTCTGGCCATGTGATTCTAGATACGATCTACACGCTCAGTGCCACGACGGACGTCGCCGGTCTGTCGTGCCTCCACGTCATAGACACGCTCTGCTTTGCGCTGGTTCAACTCGTGGCGCGCGATCCAACGGCGCTGTACGCGCTAGTGCTGCTGACCATCCAAAAGCACATCTTGGCGACGTCATCTGCGTCCATGTTTCAGGTCACGGCCATGCTACTGGCGTCGCATCTGTCGTACGCCAAGCAGCTGCAGCCGTTGGACGACCGAGCCATCACCACGTGGATGCATCGGCTGCTCCACACCGCCCCGTTGCAGGTATACATGCTATCACGTTGATTTTGAAGATTTCGAGATTTCTATATATATATTGGCCGAAATTTGGAATGTAAAAGTCGAATTCGAGTTGAAAGAGAGAATTTGATTGGCCACTGGATTCGTGTTGTGGGTTTGGATTGGTCGATCGATGACCTATCTGCCCCGAATTTCGAACCGAATTGACAATATATATTATAACTTTATGTATTGTGCATTTCACCCAAATTTGGACTTGTGGGCCAATTTGCCAAATAGCGTTCGAATCCATTTGATCTCGTGTAAGCTTGTACAATCTATGGGATACAAATATCAGTATATATGTGGTTTTGCCCAATGCGGCGGGATTGGGTCAAACGTTTGGATTGGCCGAAATTCGACAGGACGTGCTTTGATTGGCTTAGCGGTTCTTTCCTCATTTTCGAAACACATTCGATTCTGCCGACGGCTCCTGTTTCGAATGGATTTGACTCAATGCAGTATATATATATATATTATATACATCGAATCGTGTGCCAACCTTGAAAGAATACGATATATATATATATATATATATCTACTGCAGGAGTAGCCTTGATGCTGATGGGGTGGCGATGCTGCTTAGGTGGTGCCGTTCATTTGTGCGTACTTGAGCGTATTGCACCATCGCGAGCAGCTCGACGACGACGAGAACGCCCACGTTGTGACTTCTGGTGTCCGACGTCCGAGCGGCCTATCGCTGGTCGTGCCCGCCCTCGTGCGTCGCGGCGTCGTCGTCGTCGTGGGCTCTTCTTCTTTCATCCAAATCGATCGGTTCGCGGGTTTGCATGCTTCCGACAGCGGCGACGTCCCGATGGACGCGCTGCATGCTCTGCATGACATGGTACACTGTCTCGTCGTGCACGTGTTGCACGCCAACAAGGACGACGGCGTGGCTGCGTTGCAAAGTCTGTTGGTCTCAAACGATGACGACAACAAGAGCGTCGGCACGCGGCAGTGCCACGTCATCATGGCCATTGGCGTGTGCAATGGCGTACACCATCACATGATGACAATCTCATCTTCCCAAGCCCTGGGAGAGGTCGTGGCGGCGCAGTTTCAAGCGGCGTACGATCTGGCCATGTCCATGGACACGATGGAGATGCTGGTGATGCTCCGTCGGGACCTGGTGCTCGAGCTCACGCATGCGCTGCCAGCCCCGGCGCTGCACGTGCTGTACCTGATGCTGCACCCCCCCCCTTCCCCCCCCTCTTCCCCTTCATCTCACTGGCAACTCTATGGCACACATACCAGTCTCGACGACATGACTGTGTATACGCCGCATGTATCGTACTGGACGGAGCTTGTGATCGAGTATGGCCACCACGCCCGCCAGCCCGCCAACGCCGAGACCTTGGTCCAGTTGTATGCGATACTGCGGCTGCTGGTCGAGTACCCGTGTCACACATTCGTCACCCCAGCAGGTTGCAATGATGCCAGTCCAACTCGAACTGGTTTGTTTGATTTGCTGTATGACCAAGCGACGGAGCAGCTTCAGGATGCGCAGGCGATCGTGGGGCTGCTGGATCTGACGGCGGCGGTCGCGGGTGACTCGGCCGTGCTCCGCCACCGCACCGCCCGCCTCGCGCAGTCCGTGGCGTGCCATGTCTTTCCGGATGCGGCGCTGGAGCTGGCCACGTGGAAGCCATATATTGGCCGGCCAATCGCCGCCACCCAAGTCTCGACCAATCACAACAGCAGCCGTCGTCGTCGGCACTGTGGCGCGTTGGAGCTGCTGCAGCCGGCGGTGGTTCCACTCACGAGTCACACGTATTATGTCCACCATGCCCTTGTCACGGCCTATGTGTTGCACCCGAGCCCGAGCGTGTATCTAAAGGAAATCCTCGACGCGCTGACCGATATGACGACGACGACTGACGGCGGCTGCCACGTCACGTACCGCAGCCTCACACGACACACGTTTCGGCTCTGGTTTGCCGCGTTCTGGCAGTGCCTTTTGCATCACATCCCCCATAACGTGGTCGTGGCCATCGGTTCGTCGTCGTCCAATAAGCAGCATCCGTTCGCAGAGGTCGTGGTCGGGTTTACGCTCGTGGCCGACAGCTTTGCGATGGTCCCCGTGGCTCTCGACGTCGACGCGTCACTCGGTTCGAAAACGTAAGCTCTTCTCTCGCTTGTCTATATATATATATATTATATATAGTCTTCCATTTACCCAACATTTGGTCTACTTTTGTGCTGACTCTCCAAATCTATCGATCCAGGTTCGTTGTATTACTCTGATTTGTTTGTATGTTCAAAAGGTGTTTGGTGGTGATTGGTATATCACACTAATTGAAGTCACACACACTAATTTGACTTTGTTGATGATGGTTTCCTGCGATCTGATTGGCTAGATATATCCTACGATTCTTGTGTACATTTATTTGGTTGTGTCGTTGATTCATTCTCCATGCCGTTCCAGTTTAGAGTAAACACAAACAATATCTTATTATGATAGGATGGGTACATAAATATATATATATATATATTGTATGATAGAAACATTGTGGGTAGGATGGCGCTGATGCTCAAGGCGTGCCAGGTCCTGTGCGAGCAGATCGTGACATGTGTGGACCGATGTCTCAAGTGGCGGCAGCAGACGGCCGTCGAGGACGCGCGGGGCGACGTCCAGCGGTTGAGTCCGGTGCTGCTGAGTATGGAGATGGCGCTCAGTGGGATGGAAACTGTGGTTGAGGACATGCAAGAGATGGCGCTGGTGCAGTGGAAGGCGGCGGCGAGGCCTGAATTGACCAAGCTGCAAACGCTGGCCAAGGACAAGGGCGGCGGAAGGGCGCTGGTCTTGCCTCCTGGTCAGGTCAAGGTACGATCTCTCACACGTATAGTAGAATACAATACATACTGCCAAATATATATGCACGAAATGCGATGGTCTATTGTAGTTTATTCCCCAAGTGCTTCGATGGATCCAGCGCGCGCGACTGTCCCTGGCCAAGACCCAGTACGTTAGTATGAACTTGTGGTTGGATATATATTATCATGAGAGATTCATGTATACATTCTAATACAGTATATATATATTCTAATACATATATATATTATATATTAGAGAGCAGTATTCGATTCCCGTGGGGTCGGATTTTGAATTGGCCGAGTTGGTCCAATGGCCTCGAGGGGGGTTTGACTGGGTGGGTCATGCGAGTGGTCGAGATGGAGAGGAGGAGGATGCCGACCGATGGCGGCGGATGGACGACCAGTACGAAGAAGAAGAAGAAAAGGAACAAGACGAAAGAGATGGTGGCCATCTGGCAGAAGACGAACGAGATGATGGCCATCTGGCAGAAGTCGAAAGAGATGATGGCCATCTGGACGATGATACATTTTACGCGTCGCTGGCCCGCACGACGACGGTCCAAGCGCTGCAAACTCCGCAAAAGCAAGGTCCCACCGACATGCAAGACAACGACACGTGGGGATTTCCATCGATTGTCGTCGACTTCAAAGCCACGAAAAGACAACGGCGCCAACCATATTAACCTAATACTACCAGTTACTGTAGTACATATTACTTACTGTATTCATACTAACCACAGTACTCCGGAGTAGTAAGTACTACTCTTTATACTGGTATTAATAGTAAGACTGTCCATCTTACTATTGCATCTGTATAACTTCGAAGTACTAGTAGTACCTAATACTAGTACTCTGAGTAAGGAGTACTACAGTACTATTAATACTACTCCCAGTATTAATACTCGGAGTAATAGTGCTTCGAAGTAGTAGTACTGTAGTGTTGCCCCTACCCCCTTCCCCAATACAAACTTCAAGTGTACGAGTGTATCGACCAGTGGATAGTTGTGGGTGGTCAAACTGCGGCTTTCACTTTATATGGCAAATGGGTATTTTCACTTGGGTTTTGTATACTTAGTGAAACGATGGTTTGACAAAAGGAAACGACTGGTGTTCCAAAACGAGGGTTTCGATCCCAATTCTTGCTCAGATCACAATTTAGAATTGCAGAGTCAAGCAGCATGAAGATGGCGGCTTGATTGGGAAATTCCCCGGACCACAGGGCAGAGAGTGCCGGCCGTGAAGGCAAAACGCTTCTTTTGGACGCTGCGAAGACGCCTCCGGGTGGAGCATATGCCGACGAGAGAGGTCTGTTCGTCATACCACAGTTATGCAATTGGCCCCAAGCAACGTCGACGTCGTGCGGCAGCTTGTGGGTTAACTCAACGGGGATTACTCATGTTGTGTTCTCCACGACACCCATCGACACGTAAGAAAGGCATCGACCCCACCAGTGTCTCTCGACACTCTACATATGTACATTTGTGTTGCGCGATGATGATGATCTTATCCCTTAAACATTCGCAGTGTTTTGCCGACAGCTCACGCTGGAAGAGGCTAATTACTTCCTTGGATGTCTGAGCGCACCTTATCGATATTGTTGCATATTAGTAGTAGTAGTACGTTGATGATTCATCATGCGCGTCGTTTGAACCTCCGGGTAATGAAACGACAACCATTATCCATTCTTACAATCTGAGTACCATCTACATGCATACCCTCTCCATATACATGCATATACCCTCTCCATATACATCTATCCCTCTCCATAGCAGCCCCCGTTGGCCGGCCATACACCTAGATTAACACGAACCACCAATATATACATGATCGTCCATTCCTTCCTGTTGACCATCGTCTTGGCCTTACTGTGCTGGCAAACTATATATAGTACCTTCGCTCGAAACTCAAGTCGATAGGACTTGCCGCTATGACTCGTAATGCGTGCCATCGGCACCAAGGACGAGATGGATGTAGCCGTTTGCGCACGCATCATAGCTACACAGTTCTTCACACTGCATCATATGTTGTTTCAGCACATATGGAATTGCACGTGTTTGAAATGTCCATGCTCCCGTCTCTACCGTCCCACTGTGCCTTTGTGCCTTGCATGTGAAATTGCCTTGACTGAGTTGCCCATGTTCTTCGTCCACCGCGTGAGCGTGCCCGGGACGAGCACGCTGCTACAGCCTCGACGCCACGCTACCACGGTCGACGAGCCGCCTTCCTTCATCGCCACGACGCCTCCTTCTTCCTTCGTCGCCAGTACACCGATCCCTTCCCCGCCGCCGGTCGTTGTCGTCCAAACTGATACGTCCACTCCGTCAGTCCAAGCTTCTCCTCCCGTCGTCACCAAGCTCAGTCGACGGTCGTCGGCGGCATCTCTGAGCAAACCAACCTCCCATACTGTTACCCGACGGGCATCCGCATCCCTCGATGTGTCGCCGTACTTGCACGAAGACGACGAACCCAATGTGGACACTGACACGGACGAACGCATGTCGGTAGGTCAGCTGCCCCATCCTCTATCGTACCATCATCTCAATATCATCCTCATGCCAACACGTTCCAGGCGTTCACAACATGTTCTTCGTTCTCTTCGTGGGATTCCGCCACCAATGACCTTATGGGAGATATGGAGATCTTTTGTGCGCGCGACTCGTATTCAGCTGAAAGCCGGCTCTCAGACCTGGTCAAATTGGAGCAAATCCTCGTGTCGCCTCCCCGAATCCGCGCACGGACGCTGTCGTGGAGTCCGCATGCGACGTTGGCCGAGACGGTATCCATTTCTCTCCCTTCCATCGTCCCTCAATCATGCATGTGCATTAGACGAGCTCTGTGGCGTCGAATATCTTACGGCGGCGGCGATCCGATCTGTCAGGGAGCGAACAAAAACTTGTGGGTGTGTTGGACGAGTTTCTGGAATGCATGAAGCGCGTCTACGACGATCGGTGCTTGAAGGTCATGCCTCCGCGCCGCGTGGAAGTGGACTTGGAGAGCATGCTGCATACAATCGAGACGGCGCGGCGGCAGTCGCGGGCAGATGCTGCGACGATGGAAGCGGCCGACGAAATGGTCCGCATGATCCATCACGTGATGGAAGACGTCCGTGGGTTGCATCATTTCGGACACAAGGGCGAGGTGGAATATGTTACGTTGTAAATGTAACGGTATTAGTGTGGAAATGTAACCGATTTTTGGAATACATTAAGTTATAAGTGTTTTGTTTTGATACATTAAAGGCTCGTGTGAGTTTTGGGTAGTATTCAAGCAAGTCGTAATTGAACAGTGTGGGGATTGGGATATGTTAAGTTATAAGTTAAAGTAGTGCATAATGGACTTCGCCGCGCTTGTTGTAATGATGTAGACCAAGAACGTCTTGCCAGGTGTCGTCGATCATGTCGAGCAAGAGATCGAGCAGTGTCGATGGGAGGTCCAACATCGTTCGCTTCATGACTTCGACGGACGAGGCGGCACGCGCGAGTTCTAGTTGCACGAAGCATGGACGCACGTCTGCCAGGCATCGGTCGTCGTAGATGCGATGGTGCAGATGCCGTAGTGTGTTGAAGATGAGAAGCACACTGTTGGAGCAAGTATGGAGTCCAAGGACGGATGTTTCAAACATGGCTGCATCGCGCTGCCTTCGCTGGGGTGGGTAATGGTCTCGTTCGCAGTGAATCTCAACGTCGCCGTCCAGGACGATGGTCGTGCTGTCGTCTTCAGACTCGTCTTCCCATGAGAGACACGACGACCTGTCTGTGGAGATCTAGTCGAGAGATGAGCGATGTTCCCTGTTGATCAGGCATGGATGAGCAAGGAACCTTACCGAAGAGCGGTCGTCAAAATATGGAGCAAGGACTTCGAGTGTGGTGTCGGCAGTCACGTCGTCGGCACGGCACCATGTCTGATGGTGTCTCCACTTCTTACCGTCGTCGGGAGCCTGGCGCCCGGACTCTGCCAGTGCTTGCGTTGTTGCTGACCAGCATCCCATCTGTCTACGTCGTTGGATGTATGGTCGACCTATGCGCTGCTTTACCATCGCGTTGCATGGTTCGGTACTGTAGAGATTGGCGGCGCTGGATGCTTCTGACCACCGAGTGAGTTTCAAAATCCAAATGTTTCACCACGACTTGGACAATAATCACACCTTTCTCGTGTTCAAAATATTTACCTTTTCTTCAAGTCATTTGGTTGATTCAAAATAGTTGGTTTATGTCGCACTCTGGTGAGATATTGTTAGATATATCTTCGACACGGCGACACAGTTGACGAGTGAGAATGGCAGCATGAGGTGAAGGAAGCACGTGTACGTTACGCAGGTCACACGTCCGTCATATGCCCATGATCATGTGGATACGCCTCCATGCTAACGATTGTACCGGCGAAAGTCGATCGTGTCGGACGACACCCACCTGCCGTCGCCGTCCTCCTCCTTCTCGTCATCGTCGTCGAAGTCATCTTCAAGGTCCTTTGCCGCCGACGATTCCTTTGCCACGACATCCGTAGCTTCGTATCGTCGCATTTGCACTGCGCTGTCCCCCCGAAAGTAACCCTACCAAGGCAAAGTGAGCTACAACTCGCTTCATACGATCACGGTACCTGGGCCTGCCATTCGACAAAGTTGGACGACGGGAATGGGCCTTGGATCAGTCCATCTTGCGACTTGTACTCCCATAGAACTGGTGGCGGCGGCGGCGCTTGCGGCACCAACTGTTCCTTAGGGGTATGGTATACATCTGCCTTTCCTTGTCGCATGAGGAAGTCGGTCGCTTCGGTGAGCTCGTCGAACTCGCGCTTCATGTCTGCGGTCTGCTCTGGTCCCTTGGAACCCTTCTTCTTCTTGCCTAACCGCTTGAGAGCCTTCAACACGGTCTCGCCTTCCTCCAGCACCTCCATGAACACACTCGTGGCGCGACGCTCGGTCCACGTTTCTTCGTCGTCGGTGCGTGCTTCCTGTCGTAAGATGCGCGCTCGCTCGGCTCCTTCCATCTCCTGTGCAGACACATTCTCGAGCCATGCATCTTCCTGCATCGGCTGTTCTTCCTTGGCCCACACGAAGTTGCCGCTTTCGTCAAAGTGGCCCTCCTCTCTGTCTTCCTTCAGGTTGAACGCCATCATGCGCACACCTTCGTCCGCATATTGAGGCATGTCGGGTCGATCTTCTTCTTCGCCTTCCTGCCGTTTGTGCTGTCGCGGTATCTGGCGCTTCTTGCTGTCGTCGCCATCATCGCTTTTGGTCTCGTCATCGCTATCCAGTGCTCCATTCACCTCATCGTCGTCGTCGTCGTCGTCGGCGCTGCCATCACCATGATGATCATCATGCTTGGATTCGCTAAACTGGACAGTCTTTTTCTTCTTGTTGTCTGTCCACTTCCCCTTTCCATTGCTCGCGGGGTGCTGGCGCTTCATGGCGGCACGTGCGTCTGGAATATGACCCTACAATGTGTATACCTTTCTAAAGTAATATGATTGATACATCTTTTATTACAGGTAATTCAGTACAATGAATAGAATGATTTGCAGCCGGATTTATATAAATCTCCACCATATTCAATACAAATCCCTAGTATATTGAATTGAATAGCAATATAATTGCAACCCTTGGATGCTCCACTTTGGTTGGACGGTAGCAGATTGAACCCGCTATCCAACGCCGTCGGTGTCATTTTGCTCCCGCGCTCGCTCGTCGTCATGGCCAAGGACAAGAAAGTGCGCAAGTTTGCCGCGGTGAAGCGCATGATCAGTCCCAAGGACACTCGCATGTATGTACATTCTCCATTGGATGCATATAGTTGGGTTGGAGCGCTCGTTCGTTGGGCTGACTCGGTGAACGTAGCAAATCTGTCCAAGCCGTCGCGGCCAAGAAGGACCTCAAGAAGAAAGAGAAGGAAGCTCCCCGTCAAATGTACGTCCCTCAACATGATCCTAAGTCTCATGGATGTGTAGTGATCAAATCCCGTCCAACTTGTTCTTCAAGTACAACGCCGAGCTGGGCCCGCCGTACAACATTTTGGTGGATACCAACTTCATCAACTTTAGCATCAAAAACAAATTGGAAGTGGTGTCTGCGATGATGGACTGCCTCTTGGCCAAGTGCATTCCTTGCATCACGGACTGCGTGATGGCCGAGTTGGAAAAGCTCGGCCACAAGTACCGCGTGGCGCTGCGACTCGCCAAGGACCCGCGGTTCGAGCGCCTGCCATGCACGCATAAAGGCACGTACGCCGACGACTGTTTGTTGCACCGCATTCAATCGGTAACCCTCTTCCTCCCATCACCTATCTCCTAAACATATGCAATTGTAGTCGCGATGCTACATTGTGGCCACATGCGACCGCGAGCTCAAGCGCCGCATTCGCAAGGTGCCCGGTGTACCCATCATGTACATTGCCCAGCGCAAATACGCCATTGAACGCATGCCCGAAGCGAACGCCGCCAAGATCAAGTAGTAGTACTAGTAGTAGTCCAAGCATCAAAGTGTATATTTAACAAGCCGCCGATTCTACGCCGCGTCTTTGCTGGTCGAGTCAAACATGGCTGCCCCAGGGATCTTGTGGTCGCTGAATTGAGGGCGGCTCTCGTACACACATTCCACGACTCCATGGCGCCACTGGAGCGACACATGGCTTAAGACGGGAGGGCACACATGTGAGAACACGAGCGTACCTTTTTGCTTTCGCCCTTGAGCCCAATGTAATACACGCGGGTTTGGTCGCCGCCAAAGCTCGCGTCAAAGAACAACGTGATGCTGCTCACTCCTTGGAACTTTCGCAAGCTAACGACGGACGACGTTAGATGGAAACGACGGCGGATATATGATGTGGACGACGCACTGAAGGGGGTAGTTGATGTGCGCGTCAGAGTCTTCGACCAGGTCGAGCTTTTGCAACGGTGGTAACTCCGTGGCGTTGGAAAAGTCAATGTCTTCGCGATTGGAAAACCTAGCATAACGTTGCCACCACCACAATGTGATGAACTGTGTACTCGTGCATCCTCTGCGACGCACAATTTCACGGATTTGGGATGCAGTCCGTCTTCGCCACCCGAAATGCAAATGGACTTGATGCTCACCGCTTCTGTGAATCTACAACGACGTGAGACAAATCAATATGCCTCGGATGATATCCATGACGTACGGAATGTACAAGATCAACTCCGGGTCATCTTCGTTGGACTCCAAGAACGTATCCTTGCTTTTCTTGAGCGCCGCGCTTTTGAACGGATGGGTGCGGTGGTCCTCGTCCAAGGCGTTCAAGACCCGGACCTTGCTCGTGTCAATGTACTGGAACAGCGAATCTCCTTCGGCGTCCTCCACTTCGTGCGAATGGGCGTGATCATGGGAATGATCGTGGTCCCCGTGTTCATGGGCGCAGCTCATGTTGGAAGATGTGTTGTGCTGCCACTTCCCACATGTCCGGATAAATGAAACCTTTCCGGATAAGGCTCGCAACGCGCCATGTCATTCAAGATTATCCCAGAAAGGACAGAAGATCCGTTCGACGCCATCCATGGAGAACTCACGCATCAGCAGCGAAATCGACCCCCACGTGCATGAAGAAGGCAAGAAGGAAGCGATATGGTCGTCATTCAAGTTACGATGCAATGCATGTTGGGAAGTCCTGTGTGGGTCCAACGGCCCACAGACATGCTATCGAACGTCGTGCAGTCATATCTTCTGCGTACGTATTTCATCTGTTACGATCGTGGCGTAGCTTTGTCACTCGTTATAATGCGTGGTACTCTATGTACCTGCATTGCAGGAGAAAGACGCGTACAAGCACTTTGGAGATGGCGACCTCACCTGTCCTGCATGTCAAGAAGGTACATCATCAGCATTTTGGTCGTGAATTCACCGTGGAATAGACTTGAGTCAAAGGTTTGTACCGTGGAACAAAGTTATCAATTCATCCATGACTACCACGTAAATATGGCAGGCCTGGTAGCATTTGCGAAATGTAAGCTATCACTTGCATGCCATGATTGCTTAAAACCACGAATAGGACTGTTAAAAGCGCCACAGATCCAAGAGTAAATTCCATTCGCTCGTGACTACGCTTTAACTGACTTGTATTGTAGAAACTAGAGGTGGGAGCTCTTCAAGCATTCAATACTACGGTCTGTGCCAGGTGATTTGGGAAGAAATGCTTGCCGATCCAACATCCTGCCTGGGTAAGACCGCCCATTATTTCCAGCAACACTTGACAAAGTGTTCTAGGCCAAATTCAAGGCGCATTTGGTACGTCGAATAATCAAATACGTTGCGATTAATTTTCGTAGCTTTTCTTTTGGTACTTGTAGGACGAATGGATATTGTTTGATTGTGACTTGTGGTGCAGTTCCAGCATGCCCAGGAGAATTTCAGGTACACAGTCCTATTGTGTTTCGCATGGTTATCTCAATCGCGTTTTCACAGACAGGTAATAAGCACTGCATGAGTGTTGGCCGATTCACAACGGTTTGTCGAAAACACGACTCAAAGGAGCGCTTACGAAACGCACTGGGTTCGTAGACACGTAGCAAATTCTTGCCTTACAAAATTGTAGTCGAAGAACACAATGGATACCAGCAGCAGCATGGCGAGCGATATCTACAAATGAAGAGCTACACTGAAAAGCTTGAAGAAGAACTGCAGGAGTTCAAGAACAAAGTGACGACGTTAACAACGTCGAATGACGACTTGCGTGAAGTAAGCACCCACCCCTGCTGGGCAATCACAGAACCACAGCATACGTTTGGACTAGGCGTACAAGGACAAATCTCGAAAGTGCCGAAACTGGGAAAAGATGGTCAAAGCACTCAAGACTCAAAATCAAGGCCCTGGGCAACGGGTGATGTCTGCTCAACCGTCGGGGCGACTGCCTTTGGGGCCTTCGTCGCCAAAATTTGCCAATACCATGGCGAGCGTCGCCAGCTCGAAGCCGATGCCCCGTCCTCCGTACGCATCCAACAATGGGACACAACGCCCTGTATTTGGACTACCGCCGCAATTGAATGCATCGACACATCGATTTGTCCAAGGCAAATCACTTTATGCAAGTATATGTACTGACACAACACATTGGCTAGGGGCTCCAGGCATTGAAGGCGCCGGATTTCGAAGCAGCGGCAGCAGCGTTCACATGCCAACTCCCTTGCCACACCCTGGGCCAAACACTCGCTCGAGCAAGAAGAGGTATACTAGTATACTACTACATCGTTAGATATCGCTAACGGAGAATGGCTTGTAGATACGCTTGATCGTGGAAACGCTGTTGATTCTATATTTAGTTTGCATTTATGTACCTCGGCGTAAACTGTAATGCACGCGAGCGTGATTGACTCTGCGCAGCCCTTGTTTGACATCCCACCTGATGAGAACCCAGGCGACGATGTGTACGACGTCGAATTCGATGACTCGGACCAGCTATCCACCCCCATCAAACAGCAGCAGGTTACGATGACAACTACTCCCCACACAAGTTGCGTCTCGGGCATCGAAGCCCAGTTTATGGCAAGAGGACTGGCGCTGGACGACTTGTCGTTTTTGGAGCCTGACATTTGCTCATTGGACGACTGGCATGCTGAAGTCGACGCGGCGATGGTCGCGCCGTCCAAATCTGCGCCAACTCGAGAGCTCGACAAGGAACTCGTGTCGCTGCTCGTCGAGATGAAACCCAAAGGCCACTTCATGGCCGCAGCAATGTATTACATGACCCATCCGAAGCAGTGGAAGTCGTTCGTTCGAGACCCCATCGTACTCGAGTCGTGCCGATGTCTCGGCATCGCCATGGAGACGCTGCAGCCGCGGTCGCTCGAATCGTTTCGACGCGACCACGCCGAAGTCGTGCCTGACATGGTGGCCAACGTTCGCCATCAAGCACACCAAGTTGAGCGGCAGGAATGCATCGCTTTGATCTTGCAAACCCAGCCGTTGTTGCAAGCCAAACATGCCACAGTCATGCCATCCCCCACTCCTTTGAACAGTACCCCCAAGGTGCTTTTCATAACATCTCGTTCTGAGTTGACGTCAACCCTATCTATCCACGTAGGCGCGAAAGCCCAAACAAACCCACATTCGCCCTCTGGTACGACCAAGAAAGTTGTGATCTTTCTAGCCCCGTTGATCTTGTAGCCGATACAACACGAAGTTCCGACCAAAGTAAGAGCAGAAAACGACCGCATGCGCGTGATCCGGGAAGCCAAGCAGTTGGAAAACGCACAGCGATGGAAAGACACCAAGGACAGCATTCGAAAAGCAGCCACGCGGCGGTCCGATGCGTTGCAGGTATATATATATATATTATATATATATATATGATTTCAAAGGCATGAGTCGAATTGTTGGACCGTAGCGAACGGAACTGGGGTTCAAGAAGAAAGAATTCGAAGCCCAAGTGAAGCGCAAGGGCCGAGATGCCAAGCCCGAGCACGACCAACGGCGGAAACTAATCATCCAAAGCGTCATCAAACACAAGACACCGGTCGAGTTGAAGCCCAGGTCGGACCAAGAGATGCGTCTCGTCCACGAGGTATCAAAATATATATATATATTCACAACTAATATATATATATATATATATTCACAACTAATATATATATATATATATTCACAACATGTTAGATGCACCGCATCGAGCTAGAAGAACACATACATCGGGCCGACCGACTAAAACACGCCCAAGAGTACCAGAAAGCATACTATCTCGCATCCCACGGCCATTAACGATAGTTAATGGACTTGTTGAGTGTGGAAACACATGATGGAGCGTCCGGCATGGTGCTGGGATGGACGGCCAAGAAGCACGGATGGGTCAAGAGGGTGGTGTCGACGTCGTACAGTACTGCTGGGAAAACAGCACTTGGGGCGGCAGGGTACATCTCCGACATCCCCACACAGCATCATCGTCACTGACCTTCTTTCATTCACTTCAACGATGGAGAACGTGGTAACGACAGACCATTCGCAGCACCGCAAAGGTTGCATGTCGGCCCCAATCATAACGGACAAGTGCGCGGTCCGCGACGTTGAACAGCAGCAACGAAGGCGTCGGTCGTGTCTCGTCCAAGTACTCGAGGATGGCGCTGGATTGATTCAACACTTGACCGTCGATCTCCAACGACGGGATGTACCACCAGGCTCATGTTCACGATGTGGTAGTCGTCCCTCTCGTTCGACCGAGCCAAGATGTCCATGGCGTCGTAGTCGTACGCGATGCCCTTGATCGCCAGCGCCATTCACACTCGCCATGAACAAGTGCTTCGCCAGAACGAGTACATACAGCACCGGACGACGGACACCCGACGCCGATCGGTTTCATTATCATTTTTAAATTGCCGGTGTCCGGATAAACTGGGGAATGACGACATATCCGGAGTGCCATTTCTATTCCAAATCCAACGACGTGGGGAAGCTCATGGTGGGCTGGTTGTCGCCCGACGTGATGGGCTGGCGGGGTCCATGGCGTTGCTCGTGCTACGTGAAGATCAGCACCCATGAGAAGATGGAGACGGATGGACAGGATGATAAACCATGATCTTGCGGATGGCGCCTTGGGTCTCGGGGTCGTAGTCGTCAATCCGCTGGGTTGAATCCACTTGCGACGTGTCGATCTCAGCATCGCCCTGCCATATCATCCATCACATTGCTCGAATCTAATGGGCTTCATGGAGAGATGTATAGTACCTCCACGACAGACTTCCACCATGTTTCTGTGGTTTTTTCGATCGACAGCAGCAGCACCTTGGACGAATCCAACGACCACACCGTGTCTTCCAGCTTGATCTTGTACGGAAACGATCCATGCAACAGCGGTGGCTACATCACGAAGATCCATCACAAGCAAATAGCGTGGGCTCATGCGGTACCTGCCCTTTCAACCCAGCCGAAACCGATGTGTGGGTGAAGGTTACCGTCACGTCCTTGGATTTGGTTCCTACTGGTACGTCCACATGCACCTAACGAGAGAAACAAGTTGATTGCATACACGACATCCATTTCGATGGACATACGGTGACATCGCGAAGACTCTGCGTCCACGTGTACGTTGCCGTGGATCCACCATTTCCCACAGGAACTAGGGCGATAGGACAATGGCGAGGTTATGAAGAATTCGATTGTGTGGATTGTGTGGATGGTTGTACACGTACTCTGCTTCCCTTCAGGTGTCGTCGCTGGTTGAGTATTCTTAGGGATAGGCTTTGCTGTCACCGAAGTGGAGACTGCTGGGGCTGCTGTTGGCGCTGGCGGCGCCGTGACAGGTCTTTGATGGGAGGATGAAGAGGGGGCGACTCCTTCAAGGGGCTTTACTGGAAACTGATTGAATGACTTCAGGAGCTATGCGTGCCTTGCATCAGTACAAACATCAAGGAGTCAACACTGTAGCTACATACCAAGGCTTGCGCTTGCCCTGGGGCAAAGCCCATCTTCCGCTGTGGGTTGTCGGATACGACGTAGAAGTCGGTGTTGCGATGGAGGAAGTCGAAGAATGCATTCAGGACCCCCGCGATGCTGCCTTCCTGCTGGGCCACACCCATGAACAGTGCATCGTACTTCGCCATGGAAACGTGAAAAATGTGATTGTATTTGGAAGATCGGTTATCCGGTCTCTATTATCCGGATGTTCGATGGTTGATCATGATTATGCGCCACCGCCAAAACTTGCTTCGTCGAAGCGACCCCCACCGTGCTGTACTCCTTCTGGAAGAGAACATGCTGGTGGCAAGTGCGCACTGCGTTCGTGTGGAAGGGCATCTCGCGCGAATGAGAACAAACCAGCCACGTCCATAACGTTACACCGACCTCAACCCCAACGAGGTATGTCGTCCTGCTTTCCCAAAGCTCCTTCGTCCTTACAGTCATCGTAGAAAGTAACGTGTCCGGCTCAATCTAGTACTTGATGCCGACAAATCTCATTGAACGCGAGCAGTCACAGAACCTGCGGCGGCAACCGAGTGGATTGCGCGACGGGTTGACGGACACGTAAACAGTGTATCTGGCTTTGTCCACAAGTGGACAAAGCCATCGTCTTCGGCATGAACTTGATTTCGTATCCTACATCCAGCGCATTACAGTACTGGTACTAGTAGGAAAAGTGATAATGACGAGAATCCGGTGATATCCGGATGACCTATTTTGGTTTGTACTTATGCAAGTCAAGGTGGCGTCGGATGCGCAGCAGGAGCATGCAGACAAGCTCACGCATAGCGAATGGGGCGCGCCGTACCTAACGATGGAGCAATATTTTGAACGCGAGAAGGACCTGTATGCGACGGAGTTCGCAGAGGCCGCCATGACTGCGTACGTGCTGGTGCCGACGACCGCTCCGAACACGCTGGACTTCCTGGCCTACTTGGAAGTGTTCAAGCGGCCTTGTTTGTACACGGGCACACGCACGTACGGGTACAGCATCGACGCTGTCTTCACTCCTGTGCACCATCGAAGGAAGGGGTATGCAGCCATGTTGCTACAGCGAATCGTGGAGCTCTTCCATGACCATGATGGCGTTGTGATCTCCAACCTGTACTCTGACATTGGCCCAAGGTTCTACAGCGACAAGGGGTGGAAAGTACACTCTGCCGACGAGCTGGTGCTCCCATCCACACATGTGATCCCGCCCAATGAACCTCCCGCCGTCCACCTCCTGCCGGTCGAATCAGCCCTCGACCGTGTGTGTCGCGACGACTTGATGTACATGGAGCAAGCAACCAAGACCGGCCCTCCGTCGGTGTACTTCCTGCTCACTCCGTCGCTGGTCCATTGGTTTCAAGTCCGCAGCCACTTTTACGCCCGCACCAAGACAGCATTTCCATCTCCTCCCCGCTCGCTTGGCGTTTACTTGCTTGATCACAAGGTGAAGCATTCAACAATGATGGTCCTTCAAGAATGCATGTAGATCCTTCACAAATGCATGTACTTCTTATGTAGGGCGTTGCCACGGAGTACATGGTGTGGACGCACGACTTTGAGTACTCGGAACTGACGATCCTCCGCTGCCGCGTGAGCGAGGCACATGGCCGCGCGTTCGTCCGCGCCGCCGTGGCCCAAGCTGCCGAGTGGAGCCTCGCGAGTGTGTGTCTGTGGAACCCCGAGCGCTGGCTCGCCGCGGCCTTCTCCGAGTTTGTGACGACGCGCACGGACGACCTGCCGTCGCTGCTCGTGCGCGAAGGAGTGGACGACAAGCATCATGTGACGTGGTTCGGCAATGAAAAGTACTGTTGGGTGTAAACGAATAGCCTTAACATTTCTAGGGCGAAATACTCAATAGGAGTACAACGCTGTGTTTGAGTAGTACATATGTAGTAGTAGGGTTAATCATGTTTCGAATGGGAACTGGTTTGGCTGGCGGTGGCAGGACGAGGACTGGACGCGCTGGCGTGGCTCGGACGTCGACGGGACAAGTCGCCCGAGGTCGCAAGATGCGGCCGACGATCGTCTTCTTCGTCGTCCGAGAGCGCCATGAGGGGACGGTGGCTACAGCATATGGACGTAACATGCATGTTGATGCCAAGAATGGACGTTACGTGGGGTCGGATGCGTGTCGACTGGCTTGGAACCGCGCGTACATTTGCGAGATCTTGTTCTTCGCCGCTATAGATATGCATACGTGTGAAAAGGAGAACGATGGAAGGACATGCCGATGCTTATGTCCGAGAGACGCTCGCCCACGGCCACCATGGTCTCGTTCGCGACGTCATACGCCGACTTTTCTGGAGGCTGTGCTTGATGGCGCCGTCCGTCCGCCCCTAGAAGCGCATGAAAATGACAAGCATCGCATGTGCTTGGTGTACCTATGTAAGTGGTGATGTCGCTGTCCGCCTGGATTTCGTCGCGAAAGATTTCGTTCTGCAGCATTTCCGCCAGCATGCGATCCTGCGCTTCTTGGTCCGCACCAGTCGGAACACGGAGAAAATCGTCTGGCAAGCTCCCACGAGAGCGGATAAGGTTTTGTGCAGACGCGACACGACCGGTCTCGAATGGGGCAGCAGGTGGAAGCGATGGGGGTTGGGTGCCTGAGGCAGCGGCGGTATCCGACGCAGCTGCGACATTGTCGTCTTGCATGGCGAGCAAGACATCAACGGTCCGCTCCATGTGACCTTCGTTCGCCTCAAGGACAGCGAGCAGAGTGTCCTCGTCATACACTTCAAACATACTGCGCAGCGTCGCCAACGCTTCTTCGACCGACGTCATGGGATTTGAACGGCAGGATTTTCTCAACAAAGTTTTCCAAACGTGGTATAAAAATGTACAAGAAAAAAGGATTGCCCCCACGCAGGATTGAACTGCGGACCTTCCGCTTACTAAGCGGGTGCTCTACCACTGAGCTATAAGGGCTGGACATGACTTTGTACTCGCTCTCACGCTAAAGACACAACCAAACGATGTCGACACCGAGAAAAGTTCCCACTACACCGTCTACTGTATTTTGGTCATCTAGTGAATCAACATACAGTATTGTGCTTTCGAGTGAAATTTCGTGTTGTGGATTCTCGTTGGAATTTGAATCGATTTGATTGGCTACCTCAGATGAGCTCAAAATTATTATCCAATTAAAACCCTCTCAATGAAATCCAACCAATCAGATCGATTGTGGATCGGTTTGGTCGGCACCCCCTCCCCAAATTTGTATCAAATCAACTATACGGATTTGTAATTTGTTTTGGGCATACGATAACCAAGCATCCTGACATGCCATGGCCGTACTAAGGTAATGCATCAATTATTGACACGGCACCAAATTATGCGCTACCAGACAAAGAAGCAGGAGCGTATTGCTCCTCGTAACGAATGGATGGCCTCCACTATGCCGCTGCTGTTGTGATCCACAACTATGAATTAAAATGTGATTGCATTTTTTACGATGGCTAATTAAACTCATGTAAAAATTTATACATGGTGCATTTCAACTAAAGACTAAAAAAAATGCCTTGTCTTTCGACAGCTATTCCAACTTTGTATTGTTATTTTTTAGGAAAAAAAGCCGTAATAACGATAGAACTGGTCAAGACCAACAGAAGTTACGGTTCAAAATTTCGATTGGTGAAAAATTGATCGAGTAATAGAATTTAAACCAACCAGCCTTTTTGTATGGAAATATATGGAGCCAGGCACATTTTGGCCGAAAAGGAGCATCAAGTGTATCTTGGTCTTTGTATACAGCATTTATCCGTATGAACGTTTCCATTGTATCCGGATTATGCAGGATGTTTAACTATTTACCAGAAAAAAACGTAAGTAAAAATAATTTAACGTCAACATTACGTGGGTTTAACTTAGGCCTCCTAAAATTGTCGCTTATGGTGCACGAAAGCTAGAAACGACGAACAGGCCAAATCGTTTGCCCTACGTTTTTCTATTTAACCTATATTTTGGGATAAAACTTACTTGAGATGAGAGTTAAACAGTAAGCTGCCAGGTTAAACCTTGGATAATGATAGGTTAAACTCAATCTACGTACGGATAAAGTGTACGGATAACTGGCCCATACAAACGTCAAGACGTATGGGTGGCCAAAATACGTCCGAGCCCATACATTTCTGTTGTAGCAAGGCAATGGGTTAAACTAAAATAGCTCTCTCATTTTTTCGTC